GTACCAGCTGAACCAAACTAAAACAAATACCTGAGGCTGTACCAAGAAAAAAGATACCTACTACCTTGGGGGAAGGAGGTCTAATGGGTGTGACAAAAAGCAGTGAGAAAGGGGGTGCAATGCATGGTGCAAGCATGACAAGCAAAGCAACACAGTGCGAGGGTTGGGAGAAGAGAGAAAGGGCGGGGTACTTAGCTGTAGGTGGGTTGGGTGGAGAGCAGCTGCTGCCTGTGCACTCCATGTCAGCCGCCACTGCCACTCCCGGTCTGCTACTCTGCTTCCACTGCTGCTGCTTCCCCTCCCCTCCCCTCCGCTGCTGCCCTGCTGCTGCCCCCGTGCTGCCCTGCTACGGCCTCCAATGTACTGGGAGGGAGGGAGAAAGGCAGGGGTAGGCAGGGGATCAAGGGACAGAAGTGAGAATGGGGAGAAGAGTAGGCACAAGCTACAAGGAAGCAAGGGAGCGAAAAAGGGAAGTAAGCATGGGGAAAAGAACAAGCAGCAGCATGAGTACACGAGGGAAAATAGGCTCACCTTGTTTCAGACGACCCAATCCCGATACTCTCCCATCCCATCCCAGCCGAGTGGAGTGCTGCCCCCCTCCCCTCCCACCACTGCCACTCCCGTTTGAGCGACCTGCTGGGACAAGAGGGGGCGGGTTGGGACAGAGAGAGGAAGGGAGGAGGGGGGGAAGAATATGGGGAAGTGAAGGGGGCGCAGAGGAGTGGGGAGACCAATGAGAACAAGCCAAGACAAGTGAAAGTGAAGAGTGCAGCAAACACAAGCATGATGTGTGCATGAATGGACTGCTGCAGTGGCACACCCAAGAGACCTCGTACCAGCTGAACCAAACTAATACGTATACCTGAGGCTATACCAATAAAAAAATACCTTGGGGGAGGGAGGTCTAATGGGTGTGACAAAGAGCAGTGGAAGAGGGAGTGTGATGCATGGTGCAAATGACAAGCAAAGAAACAGAGTGCAAGGGTTGAGAGAGGAGAGGAAGGGTGGGGTACTTAGCTGTGGGTTGGTTAAATGGAGAGCAGTTGCTGCCTGTGCACTCCATGTCCCCCGCCACTGCCACTCCCGTGTGAGCGACCTGCTGGGGCGAGGGGAGAGATCGGAACAGAGAGAAGAAGGAAGGAAGGGGGGGAGAAAACGGGGGAAATAATTGGGGCAGAGAGGAAAGAAGCGAGAGTGAATGAGAGCAAAAAGTGCAGCAAGTGCAAGAATGATGCGCGCATGAATGGACTGCTGCAGTGGCACACCCAAGAGACCTCGTACCAGCTGAACCAATCTAACACGTATACCTGAGGCTGTACCAAGAAAAATATACCTACTACCTTGGGGGAGGGAGGTCTAATGGGTGTGACAAAGAGCAGTGGAAAAGGGAGTGTGAGGCATGGTGCAAATGACAAGCAAAGCAACAGAGTGCGAGGGTTGGGAGAAGAGAGGAAGGGCGGGGTACTTAGCTGTGGGTGGGTTGGGTGGAGAGCAGCTGCTGCCTGTGCACTCCATGTCCCTGCCACTGCCACTCCCGTGTGAGCGACCTGCTGGGACCAGAAGGGGGCAGATCGCGACAGAGAGGAGGGAGGAGGGGGGGGAAACGGGGGAGTGAAGGGGGGGGCAGAGGAGTGGAGAGAGCAGTGAGGAAACGCAAAGAGTGAAGTGAGAGCTAAGAGTGCAGCAGGTGCAAGAATGATGCATGCATGAATGGACTGCTGCAGTGGCACACCCAAGAGACCTCGTACCGGCTGAACCAAACTAACATCTGAGGCTTTACCAAGAAAAAAGATACCTACTACCTTGGGGGAGGGAGGTCTAATGGGTGTGACAAAGAGCAGTGAAAAAAGGGGTGCAATGCATGGTGCAAGCATGACAAGCAAAGCAACACAGTGCGAGGGTTGGGAGAAGAGACGAAGGGCGGGGTACTTAGCTGTGGATTGGTTGGGTGGAGAGCAGCTGCTGCCTGTGCACTCCATGTCCCCCGCCACTCCATCTCCCGTGTGAGAGACATTCTGGGATGAGAAGTTGCAGACCTGGAAAGTGAGAAAAGGGGCCGCGGGGAGGAGAAGAGTGGACAGGTTGTGAAGGGGGAGCAAAAGAATGAAATGAGAGTGAAGAGAGTCGCAAGTGCAAATGATGCGTGCATGAATAGACTGCTGCATTGGCACACTCAAGAGACCTCGTACCAGCTGAACCACACTGAATGAAATACCTTGGGCTGTACCAAATTTTTGAACCTGCTACCTTGGGGGAGGGAGGTCTCTTGAGTGTGACAATGCGCAGGAAGAAATAGAGCGTGGATGCAGGGAGCAAGCATGAAAGGCACAGCATAAATGCAGGCACTTAGCAATGGCACGACATGGAAGGCATGGACTGGAATGGGCCGTGCATGCACTTAGCTCTTGAAGGCGTGCTGCTGGGCGATGCAGCGAGCGAGAGGTGAGACGTGGGTGCCAGGCGCACTGAGCTTAGCTGAGCGCCATGCTGCTTGCCTCCGCAGCTTCGCCTCCGCACTAAGATTTCTCCACAGAAGTTTCGCCTCCACGCCATGATGCTTCTCCGCAGTTTCGCCTCCACGCCATGATGATTCAGCGCGGTTAGATCAAATTCTGCTCATTCAAACGCGAAATATAAGTTAGATAATTACTTGAATTAAGAACGTGGCGAGAATTTGTTAACGCGATTTATGTGAAGATTCCCGCAGTAGCAACGCACCTGATGCAGGGAAAGCGTGATTCGAGGCGGACCCGATCCCCCATGTGTTTCCGCTTAGCCACAGCTACGCCAGCGATTCCGCATAGCTACGCGATTCCACTTAGCCAAAGCTACGCCGTCGAATCCGCTAAAGAACGCGATTCCGCTACTCCGCCGATTCCGCTTAACCACGCGATTCCACTTAGCCACAGATACGCCGGCGATTCCGCTTAACCTCGCGATCCCGCTTAGCCGCGTCGCGAGCTTCGAGCTTGTATGAGGTGATTAGACGAGCTCGTGATGGTCGCAGCAGAGGGGGCTATCGAAATTGTTGCTGCTGATGCCGATAGTCGCTTGTAAGCGCAAAACATCTCTGCGAACTCCCGAAATTGCTGAGAACGTCGGATATTCCTTCCGAGCACGAGATTCGTTGCACCTTACGGAGGGAACGTCGCCGCTGACAGCTATGCCGATGTTTCCGCTTAACCACAGCTACGCCGGTGTTTCCGCCTAACCACAGCTACGCCGGTGTTTCCGCTTAACCACAGCTACGCCGGCGATTCCGCTTGGCCACGACATTCTACTTAACCGCATCGCGAGCTTCAAACTTGGATGAGATGATTAGACGTGCTCGTGGAAGTCGCAGCAAAGGATACTTTCGAAGTTGTTGCTGCTGATGGCGAAAGTCGCTACTAACTGCAAAACATCTCCGCTGGGGGACGACCGAAATTGCTGAGAACGTCGGATATCCCTTCCGAGCACGACATTCGTTGCAGCTTACGGATAGAAAACCGTTGATGGCAGCTGACAGCGAAACCTGTTGATGACGAAGAAAATCGTTTCTCATCGCAATTTCGGCTGACGGCCGGCTTGATTGTTGAGACCAGTAAAACACGAAGTTCCTCACGACGAAAACTGATGCTGATGAGGAAATCGCAGCTAACCGAGAGAACGCTTCCGCTGACCAAGAAGATCGCCGCTGACGACTAAGTTCGCTTCTAGCGCCAATACTCGTTCCTGATAGTATCTAGCGGCTATCAGTCTGTGTTGAAAACGTCTATTGCTAGAGAATGCTGGTGAATGAGAGAGAAGCAAGGGACTAGCGAAGTAGAGAGAGGAATCGGGATTTGGAAATTGGGTTTCGCTCCTACACACTCCCTGAACTGGACAACTGCGTGCTCTGCCCTGAATGGGTTCACAAAATCAGGATGGTCAAGAGGGGCAATTAATGTTTCTGTTCGGTTGAAAACTGTTGGGAATGGTTTACTGTGTGTCGTGAATTTGGTTCTTACCTGCCCATCTCAGGCGAGGTTCAGCACAGCCCAGAGAAATTTCAGCCAATCCCAAGGTTGGGCTGGCGGTGGGGAAGGAAGCCCCACCGACAGGGTTGGCGCATCGCGCGGCAGCAAAAGCGCGCTCAGATCGCCAAAGTGGCAGAACTCGGTTTCCCGCGGAAGGAAGGACGAACAGTTTTCGCGAGTTAAATTCACATCGCGAAACAAAAAGTTTCTCGCACAAGCAGCTTACAGGGGCTACATTGTGTTCGCGAAACCCATAAACGATGTCACACAAGCCAAGGTCAACGGTTGGTTCTGGAAAACCCGCGAGGTGGCGGAAGTGCCCCACCAAAATGGCTGACACATTTCTAAAGGTCCGCAAACACTCCGCGGGTTTCGCGGAGCGCTTCCCCAGGTCCGGATGGCATATCAACGAATAGGCTGCGGGAGCGCTGTCTTCGCGGTTTTGCGGGAACCTTGTGCAAAAGGACTAGGGGGTGATGATTAATTTTGTGATCGAACGGACCGATTTGCTTCGTGCAGACATGAGCAGAATCTTGCTGCTTGGCGCAGAACAAACCGACAGCCGCTATTTTGTTATTGCAATATATAGTGTCCGATAACAATAAGAGATGTATACAAGAAATAACCTGGCCCAAGAAGCTAATCCCTCATACTGTTTAATTTGAAAGACCATACATCCATAATAACATGGCCCATGAAATAACATTTAAAAGGCTGATAGAAAAAGAATGCTCATTCTAAATGCTGGTCAGAAAAATTCAAACAGCCTGGTCTGCTGACGGTGCAACCACTATAGCTGACAGTGCCACCATGGCAGTTGATGGTGCGACCGCAGGCATCTATGTACAGCCACTCACACAACCACACCATCCCGCACCGCAGGCGTCAATGCACAGCCACTTACACTGCCACACCATGCCGCACCGCAGGGACCAATGCTCAGGTCCCTTCTCAATGTGCCTCCTCAACTGTCTCTCCCCATCTTACACTGCCTATCGTTCCTCAGTCAAACGGCGCTAGACCCTCCCCCAGCTGCAGCACCCTCAGGTCCGCCCTGAGGTGCATCACCCCATCGCGGAAATACTTTCCATTGTCCCTCACCACCTCGCTCCAGGGGTTCAGCAGGCTGCGGTAACCGCGCTCTCTAAACAGCCCTTTGAAAGTGTGCGAGGCGGTCTGCTTCTGCTGCACGAACTGGCCTGAGGGGTGTTCTTTCACGAGGAAGGTGAACTCGATGGTCACACTGTCGTCCAACACCCTGTCGTGCGTGGGACTCCTCTGAAGGGGAAGGAAGGAATGTGGCAGGGGAACAGAAGGGATGGGGAGAGCAAAAAGGTTTCAAGTGAAAGGGGGTTCTGTTGCTTCTGCTGCACGACTTGGCCCGAGGGGTGTTCTTTCACGAGGAGGGTGAACTCGATGGTCACACTGTCGTCCAACACCCTGCCGTGCGTGGGGATCCTCTGTAAGGGGGAAGGGGAAGAGGAAGGGGTGAGTAGGAGGCAGTGAGTATTAGGTCTGCCCCTTGATAGTCGCACTGTCGTCCAACACCCTGCCGTGCGTGGGGGGGGGTCCTCGGATGAGAGAGTTGGGAAGGGGCAAGGGAAAGGGTAAAGAGGTAACCACAACAGAGCTGCCCCGAGGGAGAGAAAGGAATTTGAAAGAACTGAAAAGGTACCTCAAAACACAGTGGCACAAGGTGGGAAGCTTAGGGAGATGTGAAAGGTACCTGGGAGGCTTGGAGGAAGAGGCCGAAGTCTGATCCACCAACAGGCGCCGCCACCCGCATGACCTTTAGAGAGAAGAGCTTCCCGTGCAGCCATGTTCCTCCTGGTGTGAGGACATGGGAGAAGAGAGCAGCAGGAAATTAGGCGGGATGAGCGATTTGTGGGTGTGAAGGTGCCACTTGCATAGCCTGAAGTGAGAAGAGCCTGCTGGCTCCTTTCTGGCACCGATGCTACATTCGGCACCGGTCCTTTCTGGCACCGGTGAGGGTGCGGCACCATGCTACATTCGGACAGACTCGCATGCACGTGCATATCACTCCCTTGTTCCACTCACCTGCCAGCAGTATGGCCTACCAAGGCTGTACCATGTAGCAGTCCTGCAGCAGCACCTCGCTACACACGGACAGGCTCACATGCACATATACACACAGATACACACACACACCCTCTCACTCCACTCACCTGCCAGCAGTATTGCCTGCCCCGGCTGTAGCATGTAGCAGTCCTGCAGCAGCACCTCGCTACACACGGACAGACTCACATGCACATATACACACAGATACACACACACCCCCTCTCACTCCACTCACCTGCCAGCAGTATTGCTTGCCCCGGCTGTAGCATGTAGCAGTCCTGCAGCAGCACCTCGCTACAGACGGACAGGCTCACATGCACATATACACACACCCTCTCACTCCACTCACCTGCTAGCAGAATCGCCTGCCCCGGCTGTAGCATGTAGCAGTCCTGCAGCAGCAACTCGCTACACACGGGCAGCATTCCATGCACATACACACACAGATACACACACACACCCTCTCACTCCACTCACCTGCCAGCAGTATTGCCTGCCCCGGGCTGTAGCATGTAGCAGTCCTGCAGCAGCACCTCGCTACAGATGGACAGCCTTGCATGCAGAGACATGCCTCGCTACCACACTCCTAACGTGCCCACATTCACAATGCACGCACAGTCACCTGCTAGAAGGATCGCCTGCCCCGGCTGTAGCATGTAGCAGTCCTGCAGCAGCACCTCGCTACACACGGACAGGCTCACATGCACATATACACACACCCTCTCACTCCACTCACCTGCCAGCAGTATTGCCTGCCCCCGGCTGTAGCATGTAGCAGTCCTGCAGCAGCACCTCGCTACAGATGGACAGCCTTGCATGCAGAGACATGCCTCGCTACCACACTCCTAACGTGCCCACATTCACAATGCACGCACACTCACCTGCTAGAAGGATCGCCTGCCCCGGCTGTAGCATGTAGCAGTCCTGCAGCAGCACCTCGCTACACACGGACAGACTCACATGCACATATACACACACCCTCTCACTCCACTCACCTGCCAGCAATATCGCCTGCCCCGGCTGTAGCATGTAGCAGTCCTGCAGCAGCACCTCGCTACACACGGACAGGCTCACATGCACATATACACACACCCTCTCACTCCACTCACCTGCCAGCAGTATTGCCTGCCCCCGGCTGTAGCATGTAGCAGTCCTGCAGCAGCAACTCGCTACAGATGGACAGCCTTGCATGCAGAGACATGCCTCGCTACCACACTCCTAACGTGCCCACATTCACAATGCACGCACAGTCACCTGCTAGAAGGATCGCCTGCCCCGGCTGTAGCATGTAGCAGTCCTGCAGCAGCACCTCGCTACAGACGGACAGCTGGCGGCGGCGCTGGTACCGCCTGTGCTGCTGCTGCAATTGCAGCGAGTCTTGAATGAGCTGTTGCTGGCGTTCAAACGAGGAGCACTTGAACCAGAGCGCTTCTGTGATGAGGGCGTGGAGGGTGGGGGTGTCAGCTTCTGGTGTGATGGTTATAAGTGCGTGCAGAGCTGCTGTTGCCATTGCTGGGAAGCGAATGCTGCCTGCCAACCTGAGGGAGGGTTTGGAGCGGGGAAGGAAAGGGGGTAGGCAGGAGAGACAAGGAGGGAAAGTGAGAATAGACAAAGATTTCACTGGGGGGAACCCATCCCACAAGAACCACTGGGAGACTGACAGAACCACAACCAACCACCCACTCACTCACCTTCCCAGCATCTCCTTGCGTGTGGAAAGATCATGAGGCCAGTGATGCCGCACCCAGTGCAGGCAAGCCTCAAGAACAGTCTCCTCTGCTTGTACCCCCACATCGTCGCTCCCCAGCAGGGCTTGCAGGGCCTCGAGGGGCAGAGAGAGGAAGTCGGGCGTCTGCCAGGTGGCGTCGAGGGAGGTGAAATGTTGTACTAGGAAGGCGGAGGAGGAAGCGAGGAGAAAGGAGGCTGCGACAGATTTGGGGGGCAGGGGGAGAGAGAAACGGGAACGGAAGAAGAGGAAATGAGGCCTTGATAGGGTTCACGTGTGGCGATTTGCAATAAGCTTTCCTAGCACCGTCTCCTCTGCCAGTACGGCCACGTCGTCGCTCCACTCCCCAGCAGCGCTTCCTCACCCAGTGCAGTGCAGGCTTGCAGAACAGTCTCCTCTGCCTGCACGCCCACGTCGTCGCTCCCCACCCCAGCAGCGCTTGCAGGGCCTCGAGGGGCAGAGAGAGGAAGTCGGGTGTCTGCCAGGTGGTGTGGAGGGAGGTGAAGTGCTGCACTAGGACGGCCGAGGAGGAGGCGAGGAGGAAGGAGGTTGCAGGTGATTACAGCGGGGAAGAGAGGGAAGGAAAGGAGAGCAGAGTGAGCAGTCTGCCAGGTGGTGTGTGGAGGGAGGTGAAGTGCTGCACTAGGACGGCCGAGGAGGAGGCGAGGAGGAAGGAGGTTGCAGGTGATTACAGCGGGGAAGAGAGGGAAGGAAAGGAGAGCAGAGTGAGCAGTCTGCCAGGTGGTGTGTGGAGGGAGGTGAAGTGCCGCACTAGGACGGCCGAGGAGGAGGCGAGGAGGAAGGAAGCTGCAGGTGATTACAGCGGGGAAGAGAGGGAAGGAAAGGAGAGCAGAGTGAGCAGTCTGCCAGGTGGTGTGTGGAGGGAGGTGAAGTGCCGCACTAGGACGGCCGAGGAGGAGGCGAGGAGGAAGGAAGCTGCAGGTGATTACAGCGGGGAAGAGAGGGAAGGAAAGGAGAGCAGAGTGAGCAGTCTGCCAGGTGGTGTGTGGAGGGAGGTGAAGTGCCGCACTAGGACGGCCGAGGAGGAGGCGAGGAGGAAGGAAGCTGCAGGTGATTACAGCGGGGAAGAGAGGGAAGGAAAGGAGAGCAGAGTGAGCAGTCTGCCAGGTGGTGTGTGGAGGGAGGTGAAGTGCCGCACTAGGACGGCCGAGGAGGAGGCGAGGAGGAAGGAAGCTGCAGGTGATTACAGCGGGGAAGAGAGGGAAGGAAAGGAGAGCAGAGTGAGCAGTCTGCCAGGTGGTGTGTGGAGGGAGGTGAAGTGCTGCACTAGGACGGCCGAGGAGGAGGCGAGGAGGAAGGAAGCTGCAGGTGATTACAGCGGGGAAGAGAGGGAAGGAAAGGAGAGCAGAGTGAGCAGTCTGCCAGGTGGTGTGTGGAGGGAGGTGAAGTGCTGCACTAGGACGGCCGAGGAGGAGGCGAGGAGGAAGGAAGCTGCAGGTGATTACAGCGGGGAAGAGAGGGAAGGAAAGGAGAGCAGAGTGAGCAGTCTGCCAGGTGGTGTGTGGAGGGAGGTGAAGTGCTGCACTAGGACGGCCGAGGAGGAGGCGAGGAGGAAGGAGGCTGCAGAGGTTAACAGAAGGGAAGGACGGAAAGAGAAGGAGAAGAGAGTGAGCAGTCTGCCAGGTGGTGTGTGGAGGGAGGTGAAGTGCTGCACTAGGACGGCCGAGGAGGAGGCGAGGAGGAAGGAGGCTGTAGAGGGGAGGTTGAAAGAGGGAGGTAGGGGAAGAAGAAGGAAGGGAGTCAGGTGTTTGCTGAATAAGCAGGTGGTGTCGAGGGAGGTGACGTGCTGCACTAGGACGGCAGAGGAGGAGGCGAGGAGGAAGCGAGGAGGAAGCGAGGAGGAAGCGAGGAGGAAGGAGGCTGTGGAAGTGGAAAGAGGGAGCGAGAGGAGAGGAGAAGAGGGTAGAGCAAGCGTTTTGAGACGTCTCAAAAGGGGGTATTGAAGGGGGTTGGGAAGGCCCAGACGCGGACTCTGGTCCATCTGCATTTGAGCTACCCACCAGCATCAGAAAGGGCAACGTTGGAGCAGACTCGGAGGAGCGTGCAGGCAATGTCAAGCGTCAGAGGCACCTCCCTGCAGAGGAGTGAGAGGAGAACAGGCAGAGGGAGAGAGAACGGTGAATTGATTGGCGAGCAGCAGCAGGTGCTGCACAGCCAGCCTCGGGATCATCTCGTTGACTGACTGGTGCTGCAAAGGCACTACTGCCACACTTCCTACCTCAGGTGGTGCGCGCACACATCGACACAGGACAGCACGGCAAACTTATTGGCCAGCAGCACAGACAGGCTCGGGATCATCCCTTCAGTGCTAAAACAAGGCAACCAAAGGGCTTCACCCTTCCCCACTACTGGTACTGTAACAGTACCTCAGGTGGTGCGCGCACACATCGACACAGGACAGCACGGCAAACTTATTGGCCAGCAGCACAGACAGGCTCGGGATCATCCCTTCAGTGCTAAAACAAGGCAACCAAAGGGCTTCACCCTTCCCCACTACTGGTACTGTAACAGTACCTCAGGTGGTGCGCGCACACATCGACACAGGACAGCACGGCAAACTTATTGGCCAGCAGCACAGACAGGCTCGGGATCATCCCTTCAGTGCTAAAACAAGGCAACCAAAGGGCTTCACCCTTCCCCACTACTGGTACTGTAACAGTACCTCAGGTGGTGCGCGCACACATCGACACAGGACAGCACGGCAAACTTATTGGCCAGCAGCACAGACAGGCTCGGGATCATCCCTTCAGTGCTAAAACAAGGCAACCAAAGGGCTTCACCCTTCCCCACTACTGGTACTGTAACAGTACCTCAGGTGGTGCGCGCACACATCGACACAGGACAGCACGGCAAACTTATTGGCCAGCAGCACAGACAGGCTCGGGATCATCCCTTCAGTGCTAAAACAAGGCAACCAAAGGGCTTCACCCTTCCCCACTACTGGTACTGTAACAGTACCTCAGGTGGTGCGCGCACACATCGACACAGGACAGCACGGCAAACTTATTGGCCAGCAGCACAGACAGGCTCGGGATCATCCCTTCAGTGCTAAAACAAGGCAACCAAAGGGCTTCACCCTTCCCCACTACTGGTACTGTAACAGTACCTCAGGTGGTGCGCACACACATCGACACAGGACAGCACGGCAAACTTATTGGCCAGCAGCACAGACAGGCTCGGGATCATCCCTTCAGTGCTAAAACAAGGCAACCAAAGGGCTTCACCCTTCCCCACTACTGGTACTGTAACAGTACCTCAGGTGGTGCGCGCACACATCGACACAGGACAGCACGGAGTAACATACTGGCCAGAAGCGGCAGGTGCAGCACAGACAGCCTTGGGACTATCGGATTCATTCCAGCACCATCAGCACAAGAAGCTCTTCTCATCACCGAGGCTGCAGAATCACCTACCTACCTACCTCAGGTGGTGCGTGCACACACATGGAAGCACGGAGAAGTTGTTTGCGAGCAGCAGCAGATGCAGCACAGCCAGCCTTGGGACCATCGGATTCATTCCAGCACCATCAGCACAAGAAGCTCTTCTCATCACCGAGGCTGCAGAGTCACCTACCTACCTCAGGTGGTGCGTGCACACACATGGAAGCACGGAGAAGTTGTTTGCGAGCAGCAGCAGATGCAGCACAGCCAGCCTTGGGACCATCGGATCCATTCCAGCACCATCAGCACAAGGGGCTCTTCTCATCACCGAGGCTGCAGAGTCACCTACCTACCTCAGGTGGTGCGTGCACACACATGGAAGCACGGAGAAGTTGTTTGCGAGCAGCAGCAGATGCAGCACAGCCAGCCTTGGGACCATCGGATCCATTCCAGCACCATCAGCACAAGGGGCTCTTCTCATCACCGAGGCTGCAGAATCACCTACCTACCTACCTCAGGTGGTGCGCGCACACATCGACACAGGATAAGACGGAGAACTTGTTTGCCAGCAGCAGCAGATGCAGCACAGCCAGCCTCGGAATCATCGGGTCCATTCCAGCACAGCACAAGAAGCTCTTCTCATCACCGAGGCTGCAGAGTCACCTACCTACCTCAGGTGATGCGCGCACACGTCGACGCAGGATAAGACGGAGAACTTGTTGGCGAGCAGCAGCAGGTGCAGCACGGCCTCGGGATCATCTGATCCTAGGCGCCCCGTGTACAGGTAGTGCAGCAGATGCATGAAGGGGCGCTCCTCTGTGGGTGAGTTAGGGGGAAAGGGCGAGGGGAGATGGGGAGGGGGGATGGGGATGGGACACGCATCGATCATCTGAGCCCAGGTGCCCCCTGTGTAGAGATAGTGCAGCAGATGCATGAAGGGGCGCTCCTCTGTGGTGAGGGAGGGGGGAAAGACAAAAGGGTGAGGGCAGAAGGGGAAAGGCCACGCATCGATCATCTGATCCCAGGCGGCCCGTGTAGAGGTAGTGCAGCAGATGCATGAATGGTTGTTGCTCTGTGGATGGATGGGTGAGAGAGGGCGTGGGGGAGGGGGGGCAGGGGGATGGTAAGGCCTCGAGCACGGCCTCGGGGTCATCTGAGCCCAGGCGTCCCGTGTACAGGTAGTGCAGCAGATGCATGAAGGGGCGCTCCTCTGAGGAGGAGAGGGAGTGGGAAAGGGAGAGGGGGAAAGGGGAAGGGGGACACGCATCGATCATCGGAACCCAAGCGCCCCCTGTGTAGAGGTAGTGCAGCAGGTGCAGGAAGGGACGCTCCTCTGAGGGCGAGGGGGAGTGGAGAGAGGCATAAGAGGACGGAAGGGATGAACGGTAACACATAGAAGCCCAGGCGACCCGTGTACAAATAGTGCAGCAGATGCATCCTCTTTGGGCGAGGGCAGGGAGAGAAGAGGTGAGGGCAGGAAAAGGTCTTGAGCGAGACACTCCATAGAGCCTCCCACTGGCAGTGTACAGGTAGTGCAGCAGATGCATGAAGGGACGCTCCTATGCGGGACAGGGAGGCGGAGTGGGAAGAGGGAGAGACTTGAAAAAGGGCTGCCTGGTGCAGAGTGAGTGTAACAGGTGCATGAAGGGGGGCGCTACACTGGCTGAGGGAGGGAGGGAGGGATGGCGTATGGTATGGGGAACGAGATGCAAGGGCCAGAAATTGACCGTAGATAGAGAAGACGGGAGAGGAAGAATATTCCTACCGTCGGGTGCGAGTCGGATGGTAACTGGGGGAAGCTTTACAGACTCGGGCTCAAGCGACGGAGACGAGGAGGGGAGCGGACGAGAAGGAGGGAGGCGCCACTGCGGTGAGAAGAGAGCTTGAAGAACTTTTGAGGCGCCTCAAGAGAAGAGAGCCTGAAGAAGTTGGACTGAAACACCAGGATTGCTGATATCACATGCACCTGCACCCTCCGAGGCTTTTGAGGATGCGCACCTGCACCCCCCGAGGCTTTTGAGCCGACTCACAAGACCTTACCTTCGGGTGCGAGTCGGATGGTGACTGGAGACGGCTTCACACGCTCAGGCTCGAAGGAAGAAGATGAGGAGTTTGTAGAGTGCGGATGAGGAGGAGGAGGAGGAGGAGGAGGAGGAGGAGGGATGCGCCACTGCGGTGAGAAGAGCGATTTGAAGAAGTCGGACTGGGACACCAGGATGGCTGATATCACGTGCACCTGCACCCTCCGAGGCTTCTGAGATGACTCACAGGGCACATGGACCTTCTGCTCTGCACAGGCGCTGCTGCTGCTCCTGCTGCCGCTGCTGCTGCTGATCTTGCTGCTGCTGCTTCTGTTGCCACTGAAAGCCGCACCAGCTGCTGCTGCTGCACCTCCATTGTTTCTGTCCGCGCCAGCAGCAGCAGAGACTGCTGCTGCATCAGTCACGCCGTCGATCGTGCTCGTGTTTGAATCTGAGCCGTCCATGCCAGCTGCGGCAGCGAGATCTGCAGACGCCATTCCGTTACTCCCCATTCGCTGCACTTCACCCTTCCGCGATTCTTCTCTGCGCTCGCACTCGTGCACGCGCTGGGCCTCTTTCCCCTGCTCATCTCCTTTCTTCTGCTCTTCTTCCTGCTCCTGCTCCTCTTCGAACTCGTCCGCGGCAATCTCAAGGTTCAGGCAGCGGTCGCTGAAGTCGGGGTTGTTGAGCGCGAACGAGAAGTCGAACGCGCGCGGGTCCGGCGGGTACGACGGCCGCGGCGGCGGATGCGGGCGCTGCTGCGGGGAGAGCGCGCGGTGGTGCGGAGGGCACTGGCGCGCCTCGCTGGGACTGCCGCTGCTGACTCCGCTGATGGCGGAAGCCATGGGGAAAAGAAACAGAGCAGGAGGTCTGTATGGCCGAGAAAGAGTGACAACTTTCGGCGCCTGGAAACTTGGAGTAACAGTCCAGGAACTCTTGTTTTAAGCGTCGAAGACGTCCGGTAACTTCGAGAGAGAGAGCACGAGGACGCAAAATGCGGCACACCGAGGAATCCTAGTTGCTGGTGAGAGGGACGGCTGAGATGGAAGGACTCTAGTTTTTGAGTCGACTCAAAAACTTCGAGTGAGAGCACGAGTGAAGGAATATTATGGAGAGCACTACGACGGCGAGAGAGATTCTGCTTATGGGAATGATGTTGCGCTAGGAATTCGGTAGCGTTTGGGTAGCGTTGGTCTCAAATGACTAAGTGAGAATTTGAGTAGAGATTGGACTTCACTAGGAAAATAGAATATATGAAACACACAAGCAAACACAAACATATAAAGGCAAGCAAGCGTTCACAAAAGGTAGCGAGGGCGCTGCGAGTAACCCAACCCACACGAAAGTGCTGTGGGAGTTGGCGAACGCGCCCCGCCAAACTTCCATCCAACTCAGCAGCGAAAACCTTCCGAGCACGCAACTCCATCCGACTCAGCTTGGGAGTGGCGTGCCTCATAAGGAAGCACACAAAGACTCCCACGACTCTACTTCCCAGCACCGACTTCAGCAGATTCCTTACTGCAGCTCGCATTCACCCGTAGTCACACTTGACTGCCATCGAACCTGTGCGACGGTGCCGAGTAGACCAGGTCGTCGGTCGTCAACCTGCCAAGTCTAACATTTCGCGAGGGCCCTTGCTGTCGTAGGGCCCTCTAACAACGAGAACGCGAAATGATGCACACCGAGGAATCCTACTAGTAGTTGCTGGTGAGAGGGACGGCTGAGATGGACTCCATCGAAAGGAGTCTAGTCACGCGGATAGTCGTCTAATTCTGGGAAGGAGGCTGCGTATCTAGGTGAATTACAGTTGTTACCAACAGTACAGCCTAAGTAGTGTTGCGTACGGAAAGCTTAGATGTTTATGTACAAGTAAGCTCGGTTTTGCAAAAAGCTACACGGACACACACAGCCACTGTCTATTGACAGTCGTCCTGGGAGGAAATTCAAGCACGCGACGACGCGTGCAGCGAGGTCGACAGCATGCTGCTGGAGAAGCAGTCATCACAGCGCTGGCGAGCCCTGATGATGACCATCACCTGCCGTTAACCTCTTCGCGTTCTAACAAGCAGTCCTAACTACTATTATTCAGGCGACTTAGCAGTTTGTTATATGAATATTGACTATCAGCCCCAGTGAGATCTCTAGGTTGGCACTTGCTGCATAAGTGACAAGTTTGAAATTAGAATTTCGTTTCGGCGAAATCGCTGAAGGTAACCGGCTGGTTTCGCCGTGCCCCGCCCCGCACGCAATTTTCTTGCGCTATCCGCCACGCACTGCCAGACCGCAGCTTCGCGGACAGCTGGGAAAGTCACTGTGGAAGTCGCGGTAACAGGGCTCGCGAAACAATGCGACGGTCGCATTCCAACAAGTGCATGTTTCCCGGTTTCAATCACTGTAGTTAGGAACCAGCTTGTATTTTGAAACTTTCACTTGAGGTTCAGGTTGAGGATCTCTATATCGCGAATGAAGCAATTGGTGGACACTTCCGACCTTAATTTGCTGAAAGAACCGACACGTACCGTACTGAAACGCAAGATAACTATTCGAAACGCAAAATACCACGCATAACCTCTCTCAATGCACGGAAATGCACGGGCTTTGGCACCCTCCCATGCACCCTGCTATTCGAAGTGATCAGCCATAATACACCTACCTCCTTTGATTAGGACAGGCATTAGAATCTTTCGCATTAGTAGCTTCGGTCTGGCGACCAGGAATCACGAGCATGCTCAATCTGTGAATGATTTGTCCGCCAACGAATGCCAGTATTAGCTGAGAAGCTTCCGCGCTCTTGCACCTGGACCGCTAATCGCGAGTCGCGACGACTTCGCCAGGAATAGATTGCTCACGCAGCGTCAGATGCTCGGGTAATGCGACGAAACCCTAATTCGCCTCCGCTTAAAGCCCAGGTTTCCACCACAGCCTCCAGCAGCAGACATGCCCGTTCCGAGAAATCGTTCCGGCGGCTTCACGCCGAAATCCGGCAATGCCGCCGCGCCGTCTCCGTTCAAATCCTCCTCCTCCTCCTCCGCTGTCCTTTCTCTTTCCGCTCGGCTTTCGTGGAATGACCTCGCGCCGGCGCTGGCTATAGCGCTGCTGCTTGTAGCGGGTATGCTGCTCGCGGTGACGTACATCCGCGCGTCGTCAATGCGGTGCAGTGCGATGCAGCTGGAGCAACACGTGAGAACGCTCAAGGTGGGGATGCTTATAGCGGGTACGTATCTCGCCGTTTCGTGCACGTGTTGTCCAATGCTGCGAAGCTGGAATCCCTATCTTCTTCTCCATTGCCCGACTTACTCCTTGTCATTTTCCCTCCTTGCTTCCCATCCGCCTCCGATTCTTCCCTTCCTTCACAGACTCCCCAACAAACCCCACACACCCGGGGTCCCCTTTCCCACTTCCCCCTTCCCCCTTCCCACTTCCCCGCTTTCCCTCTTTCCCTCTTCCCCTCCCCCTTCCATCATATGTGCGCCTGTGGAAGCAGGGAGGATTGCGGGAGGGGCGACAGAGTCTGGTGGAGAGGCAGGTGAGGATTTTGGGCCGGGCAGGTGAGGATTTTGGGCCGGGCAGGTGAGGATTCTGGGCCGGGCAGGTGATGATTCTGGGCCGGGCAGGTGAGGATTCTGGGCCGGGCAGGTGGGCAGTTCGGGCAGGTGGGGAATCCGGGCAGGTGAGGAGTATTTTGGGCAATAGGAGAATGTGGGCAGGGCAGGTGATGAAAAAGATCAGGAGGAGGGAAGGGGAGCAATGATTCATGCGGATTCACGTGCACATAGGTCGGTGGGCTTGCATGGGTGCTGCTGCTGTGGCATGAGCTAATGCAGGCACCGTACCCATTGCCCCCATGTACCGCTGAGTCATGTGCCGCCATGTGTTCCCATGTGCTGTGCTCTCCACGCTTTGCCATATTTTGCCATGTATTGCCACGTCCCTTCCACGCATTGCCATGCCATGTACAGAATGACATAGGCAAGCGAACAGCTGAGGCTCGTGTTTTGAGTCGACTCAAAAAACGACTTTGAAAATTCCACGCATTGCTATGCCATGTGTTTCCATGTGCTCTCACGCGTTGCCATATTCTGCCATGTGTTGCCACGTCCCTTCCACGCATTGCTATGTCATCTGCAGAATGACATAGGCAAGCGAACAGCTGAAACTCTCCGAGAGGCCATTCACCTGGTTCCTGTGAGTTCATGTCATCCATGTGACTTCTGAGTCGACTCAAGATTCACCTGCACCATGCCATGCCATGCCATGCCATGCCTGTTAGGGTTGCACTCAGCATTTTGAGGCGCCTCAAAAGTTGTCTCATTACCCGCACTTTTACACTTGCACCTGTTAGGGTTGCACTCAACTCAACAGGCATGCTTTCACCGAATTTCTCTCCCTCTCGCCCTCCCACTTGCTCTCTCACTCTCTCACTCTCTCGCTCCCTTCCCTGCATTCTGTTCATCCCAGGGATGGCAGGCCATGGCAGCACAGGGGAAGAAGCTGCCTTCTGCCTCCTCCGCTGCAGCTGCAGCTGCTGCCACCAGTGCTGCGGGCGGCTTTGGAGCGTTGAAGCACGCGTTTCAACAGATTGTGCTGACGCGCATTCAGCCCGTGATACTGCGGCAAAAGGTATGTTCTGGAATGGAGCTGGCTCTAAAGACGCTGCAGCTGCTGCAGCATCAGCCAGTGTTGGCAGTGGTGGAGAGACACGTGACATCAAGCACTATCACGCGTGATAGTGCGTGATAGTACTTGATTGACATCTTCAATTCAGAGGATTGAGAGCCGTGCTGCTGGCGGTTCATTTGCAGCTATCAAGCACGCGTTCAAGCAGGTAGTGCTGTCACGCATTCAGCCCATAACTGTGCAGCAAAAGGTGAACACTCAGCAAATAGTTCAGCGATTTCAGGCCCCGTGATGCCCTTGAATGTTCTCAAAACGTGATCTCATTCATTGTTCAAGCACATTGTGCCATCACGCATTCAGCCTGCCACTGCTCATCAACCCAACTGAACCCCACCCGACCCAAACCAACTGAACTGAACCTTACCATCAGGAGCATCACCACGTGGAGGGGGTGATCAAGAAGGCAGCGCAGCGAGCAGGCAAGTGGGCAGCCGTCATGGGCAACAATAGCTCCCCCCCCTGCCCTCACTGCCCACTGCAGCAACAACATCAGCAGCTGTTGGTACCAAGAGCTATCACCCCCTGTTTGATCCCTCCTGCCATCTCCCTCCTGCCATCTCCCTCCTGCCATCTCCCTCTTTCCACCCCACCTAACCGAACCCAACCCCACACACCACACCAGGAGCATCATCACGTGAGAGGGGTGATAAAGAAGGCAGCGCAGCGAGCAGGCAAGTGGGCCGCAGCCATGGGCACCAGGAGCTGGCCCCCCTGCCCTGACTGCTCTCTAACCACTCCTCTTTCCTCTCTCCTGATTCTTCCTCTCTTGTTTCCACCCGATCCAACCCAACCGAACCCAACCCCACCGCATCAGGAGCATCATCACGTGAGGGGGGTGATCAAGAAGGCAGCGCAGCGAGCAGGCAAGTGGGCAGCGGCTATGGGCACGAAAAGCTGCCCCCCCTGCCCTGATTGCTCTTTTCAGCAGCAACAGCAGCAGCAGCTGCTGCTGCAGCTGCAACAGCAGGGTGGAAATGGGAAATACGCGCAGCAGCAGCGGCAGCAGGAGGTGGAAGGGTTGACAGAGATTGACTTGCGGTTTCCTTCCGCCGCTTCTGACTCCTCTGGATCGGCTCTTCGCGTCGTCGGACCGCTCTGCACCGCATCGGGTTTCGTCGACTGCGGCTGCCCGTACGGCGAGTCGGGCAGGGTGGAATTTTCTGGGGGGCTGCCCGGGCAGGAGAAGCAGGAGGGTGAGGAGGAGGAAGGGGAGAAGAAGCCATTATGTGTGGATGGCAGCTCTCCCGGCAGATGGACAGGATTCGACCAATGGGAGGCTGACAACTGTCAGTACAGGTGATCACACGTCCCTTCTCTTATCCCCTGCCTTATACCCTCTCAACTCCCCTTGCTTCCCTTTCCTGCCTCCCTCTCCCTGCTCTCTCCCTGAGACATCCCTCTCCCCGAGCTACACCAATGCCTGGGCACCAAGTGGGTGCATTTCTCTGGGGACCACACCTCCCGTCTCCTGGCCTTCAGACATTTGCTTGCATGCCCCCCTCTCTCCCCCGTCCCCCTTTCCCCCTTTCTCCCCTCCCAGAGACATCTCGCTCCCCGAGCTACACCAGTGCGTCAACACCAAGTGGGTGCATTTCTCCGGGGACCACACCTCGCGCCTCTTGTCCCTCTCCCATTCTCTGCTCCCCCTCCCTTCTCAGAGACCTCTCTCTCCCCGAGCTGCACCAGTGCCTCAACTCCAAGTGGGTGCATTTCTCCGGGGACCACACCTCGCGCCTCCTCGCCCTCCATTTCGCGCGCCTGCTGGGGCTACAGAAGCAGCGGGGGGAGGGGGAGGACGGGGAGGAGGGGGGAGATGCGGCGGACGGGCCATTTGGGGGAGGCGGGGGAGGGGAAGGTGCGGGTGGGGCGGGAGGGGAAGGGGGAGAGGGTGGGGAGGGGTTGGCGGAAGGTGGGGGAGAGGGGGGAGAGGCAGTGAGAGGGCCTGGGGTGGCGGAGGGGGTGGAGGAAGAGGGGGACGGAGAGGGGGGTGGGGTGGGCGCTGGTGGTGGTGGTGGTGGTGGTGGTGGTGGGGGGAGCAGGGGGCTGGGAGAGGTAAGTGCAGACGAGATGGGGGAGGTGGTGAGGCGGAGAAGGCTGGCGTTGTCTGTTGAGGCGCCTCAGGACTCTCTGGTGGGAAATGGTGGTGGTGGTGGTGGTGGGGGGAGCAGGGGCCGGGGAGAGGTAAGTGCAGATGATGAGGGGGAGGTGGCGAGGCGGAGGAGAAGGCAGTCGTTGAGTGTTGAGATGGATCAACGGTCGTTGGTTGGAAGAGGAGAGAAGGAGGGGAGTGAGGGGGCGTTGGAGGAATGGGGAGGGCTCGTGAGCAGCAGCAGCAACGTGAGCAGCAGCAGCAGGAGGAGACTAGCAGCAGCAACAGAGCTGGGCGGCAGTGGCAAGGGGGGAGGCGGGCCGAGAGTGACGTACCTGTTCCGAGGCAAGATGGCACGGCAGCGACACCCCGAGGTGGGTGCATGCACGTGGTGGGATGGGGTGGGGTGGGATGGGGTGCGGTGGGGTGCTGTTGATTCTTGAACCACCTGCTTCGAATTATCGTCTGCGCTGCAAAGAGGGAGGCATGCCGAGAGTGACGTACCTGTTTCATGGCAAGATGACACCCCGCGGGTAGTTAGTCGATTTTTGAGTCGACTCAAAAATCGACTAACTACACGAAGGCATGCCGAGAGTGACGTACCTGTTTCATGGCAAGATGACACCCTGCGGACTTTTGAGAATTCTCAAAACCCCGAGGTGGGTGCATGCACGTGTCTTTTCTGCTGCTGCAAGTTCCCTATCCTGTTTAACACGACCGTTTTTGCTCAACATTACAAAGTCTGGCGGGCGGCCGGATGTCATTGTGATGGGCGTGGGGGTGCACGAGGTGCTGGGGTGGGGGAAGAGACCCCCTCCTGACCTTGGATGTTGTTCCTTCTCTTCCCCCTCCTTCTCCCTCTTCCTCCCTCCCCTACCTCCTTGCTTCCCTACCACCCCTGTACCCTACTATCCATTATACAGCCAGGCACACAGGAGCAGCGGGATTTGAACGACCAGTTTCTGATGAACATGACGACAAAGCCAGGCGGGCGGCCGGATTTCCTTGTGATGGGCGTGGGGGAAGCGACCCCCTGCTGACCTTGACTGTGATCAGTGACCAGTCTGTCAAGAACGCACCCCTGATCAGTGACCAGTCTGTCAAGAACGCACCCCTGATCAGTGACCAGTCTGTCAAGAACGCACCCCTGATCAGTGACCAGTCTGTCAAGAACGCACCCCTGTTTCTTTCTGCCCCACTGCTTGCTCCCTGGTCCTGCTCCCATCAACTCCTCTCCTCGTACAGCCAGGCAAACAGGAGCAGCGGGATTTGAACGACCAGTTTCTGCTCAACATGACGACAAAAGCAGGCGGGCGGCCGGATTTTATTGTGATGGGCGTGGGTGTGCATGAGGTGATGGGGTGGGGGAAGAGGCCCCCTCCTGACCTTGACTTTGATGCGTTCCGGGAAGATACCGAGAAGCTTCTGGACCTGCTGAGGCGGACGTACCGAGGAGGGAAGGTGGTGTGGTGGAAGGCGAATTACATCTGGCCAGGTGGGCTTCAGGTGGTTTTCAGGCCACCCAAACAAACATCTCTGCTCTGTCGACGTGCTTTCTTTTCTCCTGTCATGGTGTTTCGCATTCCAAGAACCATCTTATGATACAGTTATCTCCTTCCTGTTTTTCTCTTCGTCATTTCACATATCGTATGTGCAGGAGCCTTGCTGATGGAGGACTATTTTCACATGAGTCAATTCCACGCTCTATCAGGCACACGCGTACAGAGGGTTGAAGTGGCCATGTCTGACACTGTTTCTTCTATCATGCACTTTTTCATTGCATATACCTGTATGTGCAGGAGCCTTGCTAATGGAGGATTATTTTCAGATGAGGCAGTTCCACGAGCTCTATCAGGCACACGCGTACAGAAGGTTCCAGGAAGCTGGCCATACCGTGGCAGACTTTTACCAGACGACAGAGCATAGACCTGAGCTGGTGGTCTCGCAAGACGGGACTCGGTACAGTGCACAAGTCATTGCGCTACATGCAAAAATAATCACTAATATTCTGTGCAACCGGCAATAATGGCTGGCCTTGCCTCTCTTGAGTGACTCGCTATTACCTGCAGTCCAGGAATATTGGCATGTGCGTGTTATACGGTACGCACAGTTGATACACCCACACCACTCCTGCACAGTTGATCTCGATCCTACACATCCTCGCCTCCTTCCCCACCAGTGACTCAGCGTTCGCTCTTAGAGCGTATTCCTATCCTCCTATCAAGAGAACCTCATATCAAGAATGTACTTTTTGCCTGGTAAAACTAGCGAGAGGTTTTGGGTTTAGGGGATTTTCCAGTGGGAGGTTGATATGGGGTTCTCTTGACACGAGGATAGGAATACGCTCTTAGTAACCCATATACGGTGGTAGTACAACAAACACGTGGCTCTGTCTAGCGTAGCCCGCACTTAGTGCTGCCGCCATCTAGCTGTGAAGGAATGAATGCGATACGCAGTTGAAATGGTTTGGTTTACCAAGCATCATTCTGTTCCGCGCGAACGTCCCATGCAGCAGCAATGGTGCAGGTTTCCTTTCGTGACAAGAGTCCCCGGCAAGAATAAGGAGAATTTTGCGCTACACTGCACTGTACAGAGAGAGTCCCTGGCAAGAAGGCGAATCTTGATTCTTGCATTACACTGCACTGTACCGGGTAGAGTCCCTGCATACCGTTCTGCGTGACGGCATCTTCATTTACTTGAGCCTTTTCGCAAAAACCCCCAAGCATGAATGGGAGCAGATATATGGTTCTAAAATAATAACACTGTTAATATATGTATATATACTAGTGCATAATAATAATAATATGTTAGTATGCCTAGGTGCTCTGAACACTAGAACTGCTACTGCTGGCCTGCTGCAACATACCAGCCATGAAAGAATGGGTATGCTGGTGGGAACCGTAAGAACCTAACCAAACAAAAAGTGGCTGGTGGGCAACGACACCATATCAGGTGGGGACGGCATATCACATGGTAGCTGGCCGCTGCTGCTGACAGGCCAACGCTCCTCCCATGTCCTGCTCACATCAGATCACATGGTGTTCCTTCAGACATCACATGGGATCACATGGAATCTGCTCACATGGTGTCCCTTCTTTGTGCAGCAGTGGGCATGCACACTCGCACATGCGAGAAGCGCTGCTGCAGACACATGAGCCCTTTCACAAACAGCTCCTGCCGCCTCATCGCGCCCATGCACTCCCCTGCTGCTCCGGCTGTAGCACCACCGGCTGTAGCACCGGCTGTAGCGCAGGCGGCAGGTGCTGCAGCTACAGTAGCACTCATCGCGTCGTCCTCGTCCCCAATCATGCTCACATCCTTCCCCTCATCCTCCTCCCACTCCTCCCCCACTCCCTCCTCCTCCATCCCCTCCTCCATCTCCCCCTCAACCTCCTCCGCTCCCTCATACCCTTCCTCTCCCTCATACTCCTCTCCCTCCCCCTCTTCCTCCTCCTCCTCATCGTCCCCAGGAACTAGGCTCACTTGCAACGATCTAAGGGAAGGCATGCGGCACAGCATGGTGTGCAGAAGCAGCAGCGCCTCGGGTCGCTCCTCCTGCACGCGCACCTTAATCTCCGCCAGTTGCGGCCACGGGTAATCCGCGCGCATCTCGTACCCGCGTTGCGCGTACCCGCCGTCCGCGCGGAACGCGCCCGCAGCGGCCGCCCACGAGACGACGAGCTGCCACGGCAGCGCGCCGAAGCTGAGCGCCCGCAGGTTCGGACACGAGGCTGCGAGCCAGGTCAGGGAGAACACCCCAGCGGAAATCGCGCCGGGTCCCGCGGAGAAGAAGTCTAGCGAGAAGGAGATTAAAGACGCGCCCGCGGTTTGAACGAGGGCTTTAATCGCCGCCCAGCCGAACGACCCGGCTTTGAGGTCCAGCGAGGCGAGGAGCGGCGAATCAGGAGCCGCCACCTCGAGCACGCTCGCGCTGGCGACCGCCACGTGGCGCAGAAGCGGCGCGTCGCGCACCGAGACGGAGCGCACGAACATGTCGCGAACGGATAGCGAGCGGAGCGCGCGGGCGTTGCGGAAGGAGCAGGACTCGGCGCGCAGGTAGGCGAGCTCGACGTGTTCCACCGTCGCGGGCAGGCGAAGATTTATCCGCGGGCAGCCCGTGGCCATGAAAATTGAGAGGCGGCGAAGGTTCGGCGAAGCGTCGAGGACCGCTTGAAGGCTCTCATTGGACGCGTGAATCCAGGAGAGCGAGAGGTGCTCCAGGTGTCGCATTGGCGGGAGATGACACGTAAGCAGGGACGAATCGGAGAGCGACAGAGAGCCGAGGGTGAGGGACCGCAGCGACGAACAGTAGCGCGCCACGTGGCGCAAATGCGCGCTGAGGTCCTCGTTCTCCCAGACGTTCACCGTCATCCCGCCGGCCGCGCCGCACGTGCTACCGCAAGAGCCGGCGCAACTGCTGCTGCGCGGAGGAGGTTGCAGGGAGCGCGAGAAGACGAGCGATTGTAATTGCGGTCCGACGTGGCGCATCCACGCTTCGAAGATGAATTCGCGCGGGTGCTGCTGTGATGCCGCCACGTGGCAGCCGCAGAAACTGCAGCAGCCGTTCGAGTCGCTACTGCTCGCGCCGCCACCAGCGCACCCGGCGCGATGATGCAGCTCCGCCGCACCGGTGCCGTCATTCTCGGCGCAAGAGCAGGCGGCAGCGCCGTCAGCGGCCAACGCCGATGCCACGTGGAGGTGCTGCAGCGACCGCGTTTTCAGGACCATGCGCGACACGAGCTCCTCAAGTCGCGCGGGAGAGGTTGTCGCTGCCACGCGGTCGCCGCTTGCCACGTCAGATGGGGCGAAACGGAGCGCCGGGACGTAGCGCGTGAGTGCGCGAAATCGTCTGCACGTCAGCGAAATCATACTGACGTCAGCCGCGCCGCAGCCGACGCGGGCGAAGATATTGACGATGAGCTCATCCGGCAGCAGCGAGAACGGGTCGCGCGTGGATCGCGGCGACGAGAACGGGTCAGCGACGAGTGATGATACGCCGTGAAACGCGGAAGTCAGCGGAATCGACAGAGCGGACGGCCGCGAAAGGCGGCGAGCGGAGAAACCGGGCTCCGAGTCAAGGCATGGTCCGGCGGACTGAGATTTGGGCATCGTCGCTTGATTAGCCGTGCGATTGCATGCGACGTCGCATGCTGTCGTCGAGCCGGAATCAGCTGCGAGGTCGCAGGCCTGCGACGCGCCGTGGTAGGGTTTGCTGGGCAAGGCGAGAGGGAATGGTTGCTCCCAGACGTTGTCCATGGCTTCTCGTCGTCACCTTTCAGAAACGGAAACTCTTGATACTTTCAGTCTCGGCGATGTTTTGAAGTGAATTGATGGAGGGGAAGAAGGTAAGTCGTGTGCACAGGTTGAACGGAACCGCGCGGTTGACGGTGAAGAAAAACTAAGCAGAAACGGCGGCGCACGGAGTTACAAAGCAGAAGATGAACGGACTGCTCCAAATATCTCAGAAAAGGACGGTTACAGAAAGTCGGGAACGGAACGAGTGGCTAACCGTTAGGATTGAAAAGATATTTGCAAGAATGAGCCACAGCCGGCTTTGGCATGGACTGATAACCGCTGGGTGAGAGGTAGACGCAATGTTGAGAAAAGGGGGGTTTGGTGAAGGTCATCCCTGAACTCTGCCAGGGGGAGGTATGAACGAGGGACGATGATGGTGCCAACGAGGATGAGAGGCGAGGAGAGGAGAGGACGTTCCAAAGATAGAAAAGAGCCCCAACCGCCACTTGATGGCGCCTTGAGCGCTTCACGCGGCACAAATTCGGGCGCTGATGTTTTATTCTTTGCATTGTGGTGTTCTGCACGTGTACTGTGTTCTGTACTGTGCCTAGAGGCGAGGCAGTGAGGAGGGGCTGGAGGGAGCACAGCCCAGAACAGAACACCTGAGCAGAGCACTGTACAGACGCGCACACAGTTCATACTACAGTCCAAGGAATGACGGTTTCGCAAGGAATGACCAGACCGCCCCAACCCGGCCTGCAAAAGAATATCGGCTTTTAGCGGAGACTGTAGACCGTACTGTGTAAAGTCAACCCCGTGTCAGGTTGCCAGCACACCAAAATGTTGCCACCACTGCGGCTTGCATGTGCGTCGATGTCCCCCCGGCCTGAAACCCGATTTCCCGCCACCGGATGCGGTTGAGTGGGGATTGGGCGAAGGAGGAACAAGTACAAAATGCGGAAAGGAGCATTCAAACAATAAATTCTGGTCACTACCATACCTTACCGAACCAGAATCTTATTGAACCTGTCAAAACAGCATATGTTGCACATAATTGAGGCCGTTGTGCAACGTACTGACTGTAGTGTCACAAATGTTGCAGGTGAGCTCGAAGTTGCTGTAGGGTTGGATAGCCAATGGTGGGAAGCCCACTGTCTGGTCCGGGCAGGAACACCCCACCCGTCACCTGGCTGACTCGTGAACTTTGAGGGCGGATTGGATAATTTACGATTTGACGGGCAACCGAAAAAATAAGAACAGTGTTGCTGGTTGCTGGGCATCTTGTGCACTATGTTAGGCCTCATTCACGAATAGGCAGAACAACACTGTGTCACATGGTGTTTTGTGTAATGTACACTACAAAAAGAGTTTGCATTTCCTTGATTCATCAACAATCAACGCGAGGAGTGGTGACCTGCACCGTAAACCGTAAACTGTACGTCTAAACGAGGTTGTATGAGCTGTGGTCCCTCGCCCTCAAGCACCACCGTCAGGCCAGCACCAAGTTACTGAAATCCACGTCATTCCACAAAAGGGCTGGCAAATCATCTCATTTGCACATTTACACACCACACCACACCACCACCCTTTCATGTGCGTGGCGCATCCCAGGTGTAGATTTGACCATACACCCTCCGCACGATTCACACACTTCCCTCGCCTCGCCACCACCGCCCCCACCGTGATGCCAAATCGTATCGGATTCGCGAAAGAACTTTGAATCTGGTTTGACCGATTCGGCACAGCTGGACAACAAGTGACACCCGTTTCAGCAAATGCGGGTGTGCAACAGCAGCCTCAAACCAATGGGAAATCCTCAATTCGTGGAGAGCTGGCAAGTCTGTTGGAGAGGAGTCAGGGGATGATGCACCTCGTTCAGATATTTGATCTGGTGTAATGAATGCTTCATCGGCAACATCCACGCTGTCTGCAAACACCCCTTTGGCCTACTCACATCTAGCTCGCATTAGTTATTACTGTAGTTTTCCCGCCAGTGATCCAAGGCGCTTGCCCAGAGCTGGCAAGTGACTTCACTTCCACGAAGGATCCAAGCACGCTGTTGACAAGCAACTGTACAGCGCAAGTGCGCGTGCAGCATTCGTGCCTGACGATGCATCAAATCAATGCGGGTCAACAAGCAAGTACAACTGATCCACAATACGATCTGCTTTGATAAGAGACACCGTTTATGAACTATCTCTATTTGAAATTAGTTCAATTCTTGTCAGAAATAACACAATAAAAGCCATATGGCTTTTTTTCCTCCTTGCTTTTTGTGCTAGGTTGAGCATTCAGACCATACCAAGAATGCTAATATGCTGGAATGAATGCATCTCAAGGCCAAACGGGAGAACTAACTACCAAAGGCACAGGCACAGAGTGCCCATGTTGATCCGTCCATACAATGGTTCCAAACCTAAACTCATTTAGAGGGAGAAACCTAATGATGGTAACCCTAAACAACTTGGACTTCCCCGGCGGAATAACCATCTGCTTCGGGGATACTTTCACGGTAAACCCAGGTGGGGGGTCCACCTTAGCAGTATAAATAGACGGTAAATTGTAGACGTTTTTCACTTTCCGGTACACAACCATAACGCCGTGTAACCTGGTTACCGCAATCGAGGCCCGGTTGATGCTCCACGGGAAAATCGGGCGGGCCTTCCCCATTCGCCAAAACCGTTTTTTCGCTCGCAGCGGATCCCTCCCCATAAGAAAATTCACAAACTGCTTCTGCGCGCTGTGAAACGTCAGCCCCGGATCCAGCACGCGCGTGGGATCCACGTGCCCGCCTCCGTAATCCCACGCGTTCGCCTTCGACCCATCCGCCCGTTGAATCGGCTGCCCGTTTTTATTCTTCGTATACGCTGTTGTCGTAATCGCGGAGATCACCTGCGCGGGTGACCAATGAGGTTTCTCCTGCACGATTACAGCCATGATTCCCGCCAAATGCGGCGTGGACATGGATGTTCCCGACCAGTAGTTAAACTCGGGCGCGTCAGTCGCGGCGGTCGCGACGGATTTTCCCGGCGCCGCGGACCATAGTAGGAACCCCGGACCCATAACGTCGGGTTTAAGGATGTCGTTGGTGGGGAAGTCGCGGATTAGGAGCGCGGGCGGGTAGCGCGCGCTGCGGGGCGGCCCGGTGGATGAGAAGAAGGCGACTTGCGGGGCGTTGGTGGAGTGAGACTCGGTGTAGGCGGATAGAGTGGCTGTGGGGCTGTGGAAGGGGATGGTAGGGGAGGGCAAGGGGGGGGGCACCGCGGGAAAGGGTTGCAATGTGTATGTGTGGGGCAAGAGCAAGCAGCTTGGGGGGCGTTGGTGGAGTGGGATTCGGTGTAGGCGGATAGAGTGGCTGTGGGGCTGTGGAAGGGGAGGGGGGAAGGAGGGGGAAGGGCCGAGAGAGGGAGAAGGGGGAGGGAAAGGGGAGAGGGTTGCAATGCATACGTGTGAAGGAAGAGAAGGGGATCTGGGGGGCGTTTGTGGAATGAGATTTGGTGTAGGATGATAGAGTTGCTGTGGGGCTGTGGAGGGGAGGGGGTTGGGGGGTGGCAGGCAAGGGAAAAGGATTGCAATGCATCTGTATGACGAGAAGAAGGCGCCTTAAGGTGCATTGGTGGAGTGGGATAGAGTAGGCGGATAGAGTGGCTGTGGGGCTGAGGAAGGGAAGAGGGGACAGGGGAGGGAGGGAAGCGGGGGAGAAAGCGTGATCCAAGTAGGTGACTTGGGGGGGGGGGGGGGGAGATTGCAGGAGTTTGATTCAGTGTAGGAGTTTGATTCAGGAGTTTGAGACAGCATTGCCGTGGGACTGTGCAAAGGAGGAGGAAGGAGTTGGGGCGGAGGGGGGAAGGGCAGGCGAGTCAGGGAATTTGAATTAGGTGATAGAAGCTGTGGGGACGCACTGACTGGGGACAGGGGTTGGGTATAGGGGGGATAGGGGGTTTGGGGAGAGGAAAACGGGAAGGAAGAAAGGGGAGAGAGGAAACGGAGGAATGGGGAGTGGGAAATGGAAAGAAGTGGAAAGAGTAGCAGCCTGCTCACCTGCTTTCCGCCTGCATATAGCTCTTGACCGTTTTGCCGCTCGAGGACAGGAGGAAGACGCTGGGTGTTTTGGTGAAGGGCATGCGATACTGCTTGTCTTTCTTGTGCGTCCCGCTTATAACGAGGATAGCAGCCGCCCCCAGCAGATCTGCGTCTGCCAGCAGGAGCCCCATTTTGCGCGTGAGCAGGGTGCACACGAGAAACTTCCCGGAAACTTCTGTCCTGCTGATGTGCCCGCTGTAACACTCCTGCGCCTGGTGGGGGGGAGGAAAAGCGCAGGGAACCGGGATGGGCAGGGGAGGGGAGAGGCGGGGAGGGGCGGGGAGTGGCGTGAAGGGGAAGGGAGGGTACGGCAGGGGTGGAAAGGGGAGGGACGGGGAGAGGAGGGAAGGGGAGGGGAAGGGAGAGGGGCGGAGAGGGGATGTTAGGAGAGAAACAACAGCAGTGCAGTGCTAGCTTGCATTGGAGTAGGGAGCACAAGAGGAATGTTCTCTAGAGCACATGCGGCACAAGTCACAAGCGGCACATGTCACATGCGGCACATGAGACATGCGGCACATGACACATGCGGCACATTTCACATGGGCGCATGTCACATGGGCACATGTCACAAGCGTCGCATCAAGGAGTGGAATGTCCCTCTGAACCACCTTCCCCATGTGCCATGTGTTGCCTCACCTCCCATGTGCAACGCATCAAGCTCACCTTAACCTTATTCCCTCCCAGTAGGACAGCCGGGTAAGCGAGAACACAAGGGGCAGAGCCGAGCCTTTGGCAGCAGTGCGGAATAAAAGTCGAGAATTCAACCTCCCTCCAACTCACCTTCCCAGTTCTATGTGCACAACTCACCCTGCATCAAGCTTACCTTGGACTTATTCCCCCGGATAGGAGAGCAGACTCGGCCAGAATAAGAGGCAGAGCAGAGCCCGTGGCAGAGGTGCCTTTTGAGACGTCTCAAAAGCCTGTGGCAGCGGTGCTGATAGGCCACCGCTAGCGCACCTTCCTCAGATTGAGTGTTTCAAGCTCACCTTGGCCTTATCCCCGCCGGACAGCAGGGCTGACTCGGCCAGAATAAGAGGAAGAGCTGAGCCCGTGGCAGCAGTGCCTACCACGCCAGGGGTGAACCTTCCCTGTTCCATGTGTTGACTCCCCTTGCCCACGTGAAATGCATCAAGCTCACCTTGGCCTTATCTCCGCCGGACAGCAGAGCAGACTCAGCCAGAATAAGGGGCAGAGCCGAGCCCGTGGCAGAGGTGCCGCCCAGGCTGCGAGCATTGAAGGTGGTGGCATCTCCTAGGGTCAGCACTGCTCTGTACTCCCGGCCCATTGTGCTGTGGAGGATGAGGAAGAGTGGGGAGGAGGGAGGGAGAGGTGACTTAGACTGCGCCCATTGAAGGTGGTGGCATCCCCTAGGGTCAGCACCACCCTCTGTGCACTCCCCTTAACAGTGAGGCAGAAGAGCGAGGCACTCCCAAGTGCATTGAGGTGGTTTTTGAGGCGCCTCAAAGGTCAGCACCACCCTCCGTAATCCCGCCTTAACAGTGAGTACAGCATTGCCCTGTACTCCCACCCCAAGAGCGAGGCTTACTCTCGCTCTTGGGGCGGGAGTCCAGAGGCAGAAGAGCGTGGTTTTTGAGGCGCCTCAAGAAACGACCTCTTGGGGCGGGAGTCCAGAGGCAGAAGAGCGTGGCGCTTCCAAGGGTGCCCCAGATGCTGCAGGGGTTGGACCTCCCTAGTTGCCTGCTCTACACCCATTCCTTCTAGTCATGCATTAACCACCCCCCTCCCCCCCCTCGCACATACCTCGCTCCCACAGTGAGGTAAAAGAGCGAGGCATTCCCAAGGATTGCCCAGATGCTGCTGGGGTTGGGTTTGCCCTCATTGCCCGCTTATTTCCCATCAATGAAATGATCACACGTCAGCCACCCCTCCCCCCCCTCAAGCATACCTTGCTCCAACAGTGAGGTAGAAGGGCGAGACGTTCCCAAGGGTGCCCCAGATGCTGCTGGGGTTGGGCTTGCCCTCGTTGCCCGCTGCAAAGGCCGTCACCACCCCCGCCTGTACGGTGCATGGGGAGAGCAACACAGGGCAGGGAGGGAAGGAAACAGGGAGGGGAGCGAGGAGCAGCGAGCATGAAAGGCTGCTAAAAAATTACAGGCAAAGGCAGCACACCCCATCTGTACAGGCGGCAGCACTACCTAAACCCGCAATCAAGCTCAAGAGTCAGCACACACCTTGAGGCCTCGCAGGTGTGGCAGGTCTTGGAAGTACATGGCAAGGCCGCCCAACGAGAAGAAGACGATGTTAAGAGCACAAGATAAGAGCAAGTGGTCATGTTTGAGGGCACAGAGCAGCACACGCCTTGAGCCCACGGAGATACGGCAGGTCTTGGAAGTACATGGCAAGGCCGCCCCACAAGCAGTAGGAGATCACATCCACACCATCAGCAACAGGAGGCGCCTCAAACGCAGACTTGCCCGAAGCTGAGCCGTAGGTTCAGTGTGCACGTACCTTCAAGCCCCGCAGATACGGCAGGTCTTGGAAGTACATGGTGAGGCCGCCCCACGAGCACGAGATCACGTCCACACCATCAGCAACGGCGTTCTCAGCAGCCCCAATGAGATTGGACGAAGCACCAGTGCCCTCATACCCCCCAATGATCAGTGCACGTACCTTGAGGCCTCGCAGGTACGGCAAATCTTGGAAGTACATAGCAAGGCCGCCCCACGAGCACGAGATCACATCCACGCCATCAGCAACAGCCTTCTCAGCCGCACCGATTAGGTCTGACGAGGCTCCAGTGCCCTCATACCCCCCAATGATCCATAAAGCCTTGTACACTGCTAGTCGTGCACGGGGGGCCATGCCTGACGCTGTGCCGTAGCTGCGACCTCCCGTGGTCACGGTTACCCCTGCGTTGCCCGCTGCCGCTCTGGTGTGGGAAGAGGGAAGGGCAGGGCAGGGCAGGGGAGGGCAGGGCAGGGCAGGGCAGGGCAGGGCAGGGCAGGGCAGGCAAGGGAGGGGAGAGAAGGGGTAGTTGAGCTGTCTCGACACCAGTGCCCTCATACCCCCCAATGGTCCACAGTGCCTTGAACACTGCCAGTCGTGCACGCGGGGCCATGCCTGACGCTGTGCCGTAGCTCCTGCCTCCTGTGGTGACCGTTACCCCTGCATTGCCTGCTGCAGCCCTGGTGTGTGTGGGAGGGAGGAGATGGGGGGAGGCCGGGCAGGGGATGAGGGTTGCAACGCACGCGCCATGCCTGACGCTGTGCCATAGCTCCCGCCCCCAGTTGTGACCGTTGGCCGCTGCATTGCCTGCTGCAGCCCTGGTGTGTGTGGGAGATTTTTGAGGCGCCTCAAGAATCGCACGCGCCATGCCTGACGCTGTGCCGTAGCTCCTACCCCCAGTTGTGACCGTTGGCCGCTGCAGCACTGGTGTGTGGGAAGAGGAGGGCAGGGCAGGGCAGGGCAGGGCGGAAGGGAGGGGATGGAGGGTGTGGGTGGGTGAGTCGTTGCCATGAGTTATGCCCATGGTATGATCCACATCACACGCCATGTGTCCTCCCTCCCAGTCAGCCGACTCACCCCTTTTTTGAGGAGCCTCAAAAGATTTTTAAGGCGCCTCAAAAGTTGCCATGAGTTATGCCTGGTATGATCCACATCACACGCCATGTGTCCTCTCTCCCAGTCAACCGACTCACCCCTCACACCACTCACCCCACACAACCCACTCAACTCACTCACCCCGCACACCACGTGCCGTGCTGCACTTTATCCCGTGCTGACCGGTACTCCTCCTTGGTGTCCAGCTTACCAAACGTCCACTCCGCGCCCTTCAAAAAGTAGCGCGCGCCTATCAGCTTGTTGTTGCACGCTGGGAAGTCTGCAGTCTTGGTGCACACGCCCCTCCACCGCGTGGGCTTGGCTGTGTAGGCCGCCCCGTTGGGGTCCTGGCAGAGGGATGAGGGGTACAGGTGGGGGAACAGCCGCTGAGCGCCCTTGACGCCAATCAGCTTGTTGCTGCATGCCTGGAAGTCCGCTGTCTTGGTGCACACACCCCGCCACCGCGTGGGCTTGGCGGAATAGGCCGCTCCGTTGGGGTCCTGGCGCAGTGATGAGGGGGATAGGTGGAGAAACAGCCACTGAGCGCCCTTCACAAAGTAGCGCGCCCCAATCAGCTTGTTGCTGCACGCCTGGAAATCGGCTGTTTTGGTGCACACGCCCCGCCACCGCGTGGGCTTGGCTGTGTATGCAGCTCCGTTGGGATCCTGAGAGGGAGAAGAGAGAGGGAGGGTGGTGGGCAGGAGGGGGAAAGGTGGGAAGACGGCCACTCCGCGCCCTTCACAAAGTAACGCGCCCTTCAGGGGACTCTGTAATCAGCATCTGTGTCTTGGTGCACACGCCCCGCCACCGCGTGGGCACGGCGGAATAGGCTGCTCCGTTGGGGTCTTGAGAGGGAGGGTGGGCGGGAGAGAGGACGGGGTGGGAGAAGAAACGTCACTAGTTAAGTAATCTTCCTGGGCTTTGGGCTTTGGGCGGACCGGTACTCAACACGGCTGTCCAGCTCGCCTCACAGTGCCCAGGATTTAAAGTTTCGGCATTTCTTACTTGTCAAGAAGACAGGCACTTACAGGGTCGGCGAAAGAGGGGTGTTTGGGCCAGATGCCCGAGTCTATCACGCCTATGATAATGCCCTCGCCCGCACTGCTCCATCACACCCTTGGGACTGCCTCCAAGCCACGGCCACCATGTCTGGCTCAGTCACTCAGTGCACTCACCGGGTCGGCGAAAGAGGGGTGTTCGGGCCAAATCCCCGAGTCAATCACTCCGATGATGATTCCCTCCCCCGCGCTGCTCTGCCCGCCAGCAGCCGGACACAGGCTGGTGTCCATCTTGAGAAACTCGGGAGACTGCACGGTGGTCATGCGCACTATTCTGTCTGACTCAGTCACTCAGTGCACTTACCGGGTCGGCGAAAGAAGGGTGTTCGGGCCAAATCCCCGAGTCAATCACGCCGATGATAATGCCCTCGCCCGCACTGCTCTGCCCACCAGCAGCCGGCCAGAGACTCGTATCCATCTTCAGAAACTCGGGAGACTGCACGGTGGTGGTCAGTCATTCACTCCATCTCCTGGCTCACTCACTCCATGTCGGTCTCACTCAGTGCACTCACCGGGTCAGCAAAAGAGGGGTGCTCGGGCCAAATCCCCGAGTCTATCACGCCGATGATAATGCCCTCGCCCGCGCTGCTCTGCCCGCCTGCAGCCGGCCACAGGCTCGTGTCCATCTTCAGGAACTCGGGAGACTGCACCGTGGTCATGTGCACTATTCTATCTGGTTCCACGTGGGGGAAAGACACTCACCGGGTCGGAGAAAGAGGGGTGCTCGGGCCAAATCCCCGAATCTATCACTCCGATGATGATTCCCTCCCCGGCACTGCTCTGCCCACCAGCAGCCGGCCACAGGCTCGTATCCATCTTCAGGAACTCAGGAGACTGCACCGTGGTCATGCGCACTATTCTGTCTGGTTCGACGTCTGCCACTGCGGGGTGGAGGCGCAGTTTCGTAGCTTCCGCTGGAGTGAGCTGCGCTGCGAAGCTGTTCATCAGGTAGGAATAGCTGCAATGGGGGATGGGAGGGAAGAAAAGGGAAGAAAGGGAGAATTCAGGAGACTGCACGGTGGTCATGCGCACTCTCCTGTCCGGTTCGACGTCAGCCACTTCAGGGTGCAAGCGCAGCCTCTTGGCTTCTGCTGGAGTGAGCTGCACTGCGAAGGGGGTGGAGAGGGGAGAGACGGGGAGAGCCGGAAAACGGCGGGACTATGAGCAGCCACAGCCACAGCTCTCTCGAGTCCGTATGGAGCAACTTGCCTGTGCAACTCACATCTCAAGTGGATTCTTGAGTGAGTGAGTGCGACTCAAAAATCCACAGCCCAAGTGGGCTGAAGAAGATGGAATAAAAATCTCTCACCACCGCAGCTCACCTGTGGAAGATGGAAGAGACAGGAATGTTGAGCGATCGCAGCAGGCTGCGGTGGGAAGCTTCCAGGAAGCGCGTGAAGGCCTGCACATGCGGTAACCGCACGTCGGGTCGCATGAGGCGGCCCCAGGGCGTGGTGCGCATGATGCGCGCCGCTCTCACGCTCAGCTGCTGCGCTGTCAGCACGGGTGACGTGGCTCCCGCTGCTGCTGACGTGGATGCTGACGCGGAGCTCACGCCACGAATGGAGCTAAGGGCGGCAGCAGCAGCATTGTGTGAAATTTGAGAAGAATTGGTCAAAGGCAGCTCAAAATCATCCAAAGCGGCGCCATCACCACCATCACCATTGCCACTATCAACATCAGCGTCCGCATCAGCACCTGCTGCCTCTTCTGCAGCAGCGGCCACGGCAGCAGCAGCAACGCGAGCCAGCAGCCTCCGCCCCAAACCAGCCGACCGCGATCGGAAACTCCTCAGCCGCACACCCACCCGCCTCACCAGATCACCCATCCTTGCCTCTCTAAACGCCAGTGCGCTAATTCCCACTATCTTTCCCAACCGTCCGCCTATCCCACCAGCTGCTGCTGTTGCTGCTAACCCCGCCACGCCTGCTACCCCTGGTTCTCCCGTTTCCCCTGGTTCCCCTCCTGCTCCCACCACTCCGCCGATCTCCACTGCTGCCTCTGCAGCGGCCACTGCAGCGGACAGAATATCCTCATCGAACGAATCCTTTCCTGATACTGATGCCAACCCCGAGATTTGATTCGATTCTGATCCTGCGGCTGGTGCTGCTGGCGCTGGTGTTGCTCCTGCTGCTGGTGGCACTGGTGCTGCTGCTGACCCTGGTGCGATGCTGTTTCCCCCAATGCTACCACTGCCACCACTGCTACCAGTACCACCACTACCATCATCACCAGGAAAATCACCCTCCTCCCCATCATCCTCGTCATACTCATCCTCTTCATCGTCTACAGTCGCTGTGGCCCTCAGCCCGTTGATCCCTCCCCGGTACGACAGCACTGACGGCACGGATCTCAAATGCACGATGTACTGCTTCGCCCCCGGCCTTCGCCCTGCTGCTAAAGGGGGGGGGGGGGGGGGGGGGGGGGGGGAAGAACAGCAGGGAGGACAGAGCAGGAAGTTAGTAGCCCTCAGCCCGTTGATTCCCCCCCGGTACGACAGCACTATGGCACGGATTTCAAATGCACGATGTATTGCTTCGCCCCCGGCCTTCGCCCTGCTGGTAGGAGGGGTGTGCGTGGAAGGGAGGATGGAGGGAGGGGTTGCATAACAGCAGGGAAGGAAGAGCAGGGAGTTTGTGGGTCTCAGCCCATTGATTCCTCCCCGGTAAGACAGCACTGACGGCACAGACATCAAATGCACGATATGCTGCCTCGCCTACGGCCTTTCGTGCGGCTGAAATAGAGGATTCAATCGGGAGCGACGGGAGGATTGAGAGAGATGGGGAGACTCTCCCAACTCGGATTTGGGAGTGACGGGAGGATGAGCTGGGAGAGGGGAACGGCGATGATTAAGGCTTCGAAGCTCTCCGTTCGTTGGCTCCCGTACCTGTATACCTCCAACCGGAACTAAGGCGCGTCTTATAAGGCGCTTCCACTGCGTAATTGAGGCTGTAAGAGTTCTTGGTCCTTTCGAACATGACGCTTCGAAGCTCTCCGCTCGTTGTCTTTCCTCCAATAGGCTAAACCTCTAACCAAGAGTTGAAGCGCTTCAAGTGCCTTTGCGGCAGAAAAATACAAGGCTATTGGTATCCGGAGCTGAAGCTTCGAAAGGAGGCACTTGAGATCTGGAGACAAGGAACTCAAGCGTACTGAGGCGATTATACTCCAGAAGGAAGTATCGTACTTAAGTCTGTGTTGACTGCGCCGCGCGCCGAAAGTACTTCTCAGGCGCCTCAAAACCCGGTCACAGCCACTACCGTACCTGCTTATGTGTTGACTGCAGCGCACGCCGGGAGCATATCTCCCACTAGGTGACTTTCCAGTCGACTCAAAAGCCATCGTACCTGCTTGTGCATTCACTGCAGCGCACGGCAGGGGCATATCTCCAACGAGGGAGACGAGGACGAGAGCCGTCGCGGCGACGGCCACCAGCCATGAAAATCCGCCAGTGGCGGATTGAGTTAACTTTACGCGACGCGTCATGATCGCCAATATGCGATCCTGAACTGCTAAACGTCTCTAAGTAATAGGCTGGCACGGAGCTGGTAGCTAAAAGCAGGCGACGCGACCAAGACACATTGTACGGCGAGGTGGGAACGAATTGTTAGGCCTCTGACGGCCGTTTTAAGTAAACGAATGCTGCGGACCTGCACGAAGGGTACAATTCTGCTACTTTGCAAAGGCAAGATCAGACACTCGGGCTTCAACAACTTCTCGCCCTTTATACTCGCAGCTTCCTGATATTACATCATAGCAGAGTTTGTGTCTCCAGGCAACCACGGCCCTGTCACCGAATAGACTCGGCGGAATCCATGTTTGGAACGAAAGACATCAACCTTGGCCAGGAAAAATGAGAGTGCAATCCCAAGGTATAGCCTTCTTGCCGCAGACTGGAAGTTGACATGTCAAAACTAGCCGTATGTCGGTCGCCCAGTTTCCCCACCCCTGTACTTCCCTGCAGCGTTGACATTGCCGTGGTTCGGTCGGTGGGCCGTGGGATTGCTCCTGCGTGCCTCTCTCAACCGTCGATGTTGATGGATCTGTTGTCGCTCGCGTGCATGGTTCCTGCTGCTGCTCGGTCCACCAGCCCTTCCTGGCCCTCCCGTGACGCCCTAGCTCGGAATCACTGCGCCGGAATTTGCTGCAGTACAGAGAGCTTGCTGAATAAACGTATTTTGTTTCCCCGTGAAATTTTTGCCCACAAAAGACCCTCACGATTTCAGGGAGCGTTCCTGGCTAGTGTCAAGCTTCCAGTCATCCGCGGATGACTGGAAGTTGGACCCACTTTGGGCCATCCGAGACCAACTTCGGGTCTTCCGGCCAAAAATTGCCCCTGTTTCCGGAAGAACTGAAGTTTTACAGGAAGTTTGACCCAAAGCTTCGGGCCTTCCCGGGAAGGCCCGAAGCTTGACACGGGCCAGGAACGCACCCAGAGTTCCGTTCCCTGTCCTGCTTGTGAGAAACCCCAACCAACAATCAGTACAGTTCTTGTGCAGCGCGAAGCCGTATCTCGTAGTGTAGTTTCCTGGGCATCCAACTCAATGGGCCATTGCCCCTAATCAGAAACATGGGCATCTGACAGCACGTTCGAGGCTTGCTGGTACACATGTGATGCTGCAAGCGAATCGCGAATCAGCTGTCTGCATGCTTCGTGGCCCATTCTGATTTGTCCCTGGCTGCAAGGTCTCCCTGACCAGGAGGCAATTCGAGAAAGCTCAATCGTCGACCGAATTGTACACTTTAGCGGCAAACAAACATAATTCACTAATATGTATTATACATAACAAATCAGTACCTACAGCAGCCTATGGACTCCCTCCTTCCCAAGTACCGTCATACCCCGGATATACCCCCATGGGGGGCACTAATAAAACAGGTTTTTTTCAGGGGGGTGGGCTTATAATCGAGTAAATTTATAAGCGCCGGCGTTTATAAAATGACATATATATATTTTAAAGTTTTTAACACCCAACTGTAGATCTCGTGCTTGCTTTTTCAATCGAGTCGAAGTTACATGGGGTCGTCTGTGCTTTTTCTCGCGCGCGCTGGGAGATACACTCAATCTGACTCACATTCAGGTCCTGACAGCTCCTGCTGACTGGATCCGCATCCAGTGCAGGCTCCGAATGTGAAGGGAAGCGAAACTGCAACACATCCCCCTGCTAAAGTCAAAATCGTTACAGTGTTTTGCACACATTTTGAAATTTAAAGTTTACGTGCGCTTATAATAAAACAAGTTTTTTTCAGGGGGTGCGCTTATAATCTAGCAGCGGATATAAGCGCCACACGCCAATTAAAAGCGCCAGGCGCTTATCCGCGGGTGGCGCTTATATCCGGGGTATGACGGTACTAGTTATCAAGTGGTATTTTGTACCTGCCCTGTACATTTTATAGTAGTGGAAGGAGTGTTGCTTACAAACATCGGGCTTGGAGGTGGCACAAAAGTGATGGCTTTACAGGAAACTCTATGCTATATAATAGTGTCAGTGGCAAACACATTCCCACGGCCTATCATAGAAATGCCATCTACTCGACTTTATGGGAAGCTCAGCCACTTGTTTTCTGTGCTCACGCACCCTTTGTCTCAACTCTTCCTGTCCAGCTGCCCCTTGTGCTAGTGCTGGGAGGAGTGCTGGCACAAACGGCTGGTAGGTTTCCTGTATAAGAAAGAAATAGTCAAACTTTGAAGTGATACAACAAGATGGCTTTACTTCACTGGCATCAACTTACCTTTTGTGCTCCCATGTAAAATCTATGTCCTCTAAGAAGGACAGCAATGCTGCTTCTTTTGTTGGTCATAAAAAAATCGCTGCCATGGAGGGAGGGGAAGCAAGCGATGAAGGTGAGAGCTCGGGGTGGGGGGACTGGGGCAAGTAGATTTTACAATCTGTAGCAGCTGCAGCACACTTTTAAACCAGCAGCATTATTCACCAGCACAAGAACCCTCACCTTTCAAGGCTGACGATGTAGTCGATTGCTTGCATTAAGTGGGAGCTTATTGGGGCCATGCTTGGATCCAGAAGATCACACCTGCTGACTACTTTTCCAGGAAAAGCTGTCCTCAAGGGCGTCAAAAGCTGCTCCACCTTGTCACAGCTTCCACCCACGTACACGTTTGTATGGTTTCCAATGCCTATTGCCTGACGCATGAAAGAGAGGTAGTCCAAGTGGGAAATGAGTGATAAAAACATGATAGGCACTTCAAACAGGTGGAAAAAAATGCACGTTTATCATGCCTGGAGAATGCGTGTGACCTCGTTTGGTGACAACGGGCAGAGACCCTCAAGCTTCTGATGATTGGCTGCACCAGAATCACTTTGCACTCTCATGTGGTGGGTTGCAAACCATTCTTGAACCATCTGGGCCGTCTCGGAATCATAGACACAAGCTGTTGGGGACAGTCATTTTGTTGCGCAACCCAAATTTGTAGAAACAGAATTGCAAAAAATAAAAAAAAATGTACGACTTACTTGATCTCAGCATGTTCCTATCTTGGAAGCTCAAGTGGAGTGCAACATAAGGACCCTCCGCGTGGAGCCTTTCGACAGCATTCGCTCCAAGCCCCAAAGTCTCACTGGTAAAAAGTAAAGCGTGGTAGAGCACTCTACACCGTAGGCGCTGCCAAAGCGAGACCAAATTTCTTCTCATATTTCTGGTACAGATAATGGAACTAGCCAATCTCACCAAAGCAAGAGGTTGTACCTGATAAACGTCTGGCAAGTCCCGGGAAAGGAAAAGAAGGAAGTGATCCAAAACTGCCACTCCTTTCCCTTGAAGAACAGGTGCAACATTTTGAAGATACCAGTCTACATTTAGCGTCCGGTGATCAGGTGGAGCGTGCTCCAAAGTATCAGATGTCACTGTGAAATTCGCTTGTCTGCATCAATGTTTCAGAGGCTTAATTATATGAGAAGAGAGCGATGCAGAGAAAGCTGTTGCACGTCATACCTGACGATGTTGACATCATCTTTCAGGGTTTCAATGAAATGGTGTTCAGAGAAAATATCTCCGAATTGGCTGTATGTGAAGGCAGGATGAAAATCTGGCTAAATAGTTGGGAAAAACTGCGAGAAATTGTGCTGACTTGCCTGATCTCCTCGTGCGATGACTTAGCGAGAAGGATCGGGACAACAAGTGTCGCATTGAGGATGCGAGCAATCACAACTGAGTTAGCAATCGCCCGCATCTGCTGATACAGGTCACCTCTTACGTAGACATACAGCAAACCTTTCGACTTCACCGACGAAACTGCAACACAAGATCTATCAGTTAATATATGCCATTTCGCAAGATAATCCGTCGGACTAGAATACTGACCTTGAAACTCGCCTGGCCTCCTAAACAAACATGGCCGAAGTCGACTAGCTCGTGGGAAAGTGTGGTGCAGGAAAAAATCGGAGCTTGGATTTGACTTCAAAAGACTTTCTGAATCCATCTCGAGCCTCACAGAATTCGTTCCACTTTGCTCAAGAGAGATCGCAACTACAAAAAAGCTACACAAGAACACCATTCTTAGAGAAAGGCGTGCCATCTTGCGAGCTGAAGTGGACATCGAAGCGTGTGTATGTAGTTGAGCTTGCAGCCCTGAACTTTTGGGCAAGCCGGATGATCTTGGCAAGAACGAAGTGGAATGTATGGGTAGTGCTTGGTAGCCTTGTGTATGGTTGGTCTGGGAGGGAGGGGCCGTGAGTTGCGTCAGTCTGTCGATTGGGATTTCATCGCAATCAATCCGACGGCTCGGAGTTGGCTAAGTCCAAATGATTTGGAGGAAGTGTACTTGTTCGCACGTATTTTTTAATGGGTACAGGGCCGTCGCCAGAATTCGAAATCAGCACTGGCGAAAACACTCGAACCTGTTACGATTTCATTACTGTCGGGTTTCCATGAGCCTGTTACGTATCACTTGACCACCTCTTTTGCCTTTGAAGTTTGTCCAGCCTGCTTTGAAGTCCTGGGCCCAGGCTCGTGCTTGTGCCATCTGGCGTCCGCTCTTCATCACCATCGTTCCCGCTCCTACCATCGATGGCCAAGCTTCAAGCCAAATCCCAAACCGAATAAAAAGGTGACCACAGAATATCCAAGGCATACACGAAAGGTGGGCTACGGAAGCCTTTTCTGCCGCACTGTGAGGTTCTGAAATCTGTAATACGAGGAGCCTCCACCGCCTCTTGCCAAATCTTCCGGGCCGCGTGCCCCGTAGTAGCCGCTTGTTAAGCCTTTGCGCAAGATATAGTAGCTGACCTTTAGTTACGAGTATCGATATGGCGTGTAGTTCAAGTCCTCTCAGAATAATCTCTTGGTCCATAGTTCTATCGTTTTCCGTTCTGGTGCGTGCCTCCGCTGGGATTTCAGCTTCGAGTGCAGCACTAAAGGCAAATCCGTTTCACAAGCTCTTCAACCCTTCTTGGAAGCAGCCTCAAACTAGAATCTCGTGTCTTTCTGACAACAGGAGCCAGCATCAAGAAGGTGAGCTCCCGACCTAGAGATTATGCTGCCCTGATACCACCATCTCAAAAGGGGTTCGCGATCAGTCGCGATACGTGTTCGAGTTCTAATTCTTCACGAGTGTTAACCAGGAAGGGAGCATCGCTACCTTTATGCATCTGTCGGGGGTGGTCTCAATCAGCAACGACGAGGAATAGCCAATGCAGTAGTTGTTGCAAAGATTATGAATGCTACTCTCATTGTTCCCACATTAATCGTACATCCGGCCTGGGGTGACCAAAGGTGAGCTCCGTGAAACATACATGGCAACGTTGTCCTTTCTGTTTCGCTCCCATTCAATTCTAACGATACATTTTGTACTATGCAGCAAGTTCTCAGAGATTTTCAGTGTACCGCACTTCGTTCAAACCCTGAAGAAAGATGTGGAAGTTATTGAGTAAGATGCTTCCCTGGAATGTTTTCGTCTGTTCGAAACCACTGTGCTAACACTTCCCTCACTGAACCAGAGATGTTCCTGCAAGCCTGAATTTTTCATCTTTAAAAAGGCTTGCGTCTATAAGCATCCCTTCAGAAGCCCTTGAGCCAGAATGGTACATCAAGAATGCGTTTCCAGTCCTTCAGAAATACGGGCTCCTTGTGTTGAATTACTTTTTCATGCAGCTTCAAGAAGATCTTCCAACACCACTTCAGGTTCGAGATATTGTTTCTAGCATTGCATTTTTTCTTGGTTTTAAGTCACTTTCTAATCCTTGGCTCCGCTCATTCTTGGCAGCACTTGAGATGTCGTGCTCAGTACCATGCCCTTCAGTTCGTGAGCTCTATTTTAAGGTAGTGGGCCGATGCTGCTACACTCAGTTTTATCTTCTCTACCAGCCTGTTCACTTTGCAGTGTATGTTGATGCAGCAAGGGTCTTCAGGCTGTTCATAAGCTTCAGAGCTCTGGGCCTTACGTAGCTGTTCATCTACGATATGAACCTGACTGGATTGTCCATACAGGTGCGTTCACAACCTGCACTACGGGAGGTTGCATCGCTTTGGTTACATCGAGTTTGAGAACTTACAGAAGTGTTTGCTTGTGGGCCTGTTCAGGTTGCCTGTATGATGAAGCAACAGACGCGTACATGAAGAATTGGGCATCTGAGAGAAACATTCAATTTCAGTCCAACGTCACAGAAAGCGATTTGAGAAAACAAGCAGGTCTTTGCCCCATAACCCCTCAAGAAACGGCTCACATTCTGAAGGTATGTCGGCGATTTGGTGTTACTGCTTCCACCTATCATTCCAAGGTGTCTGTCCATGCAGGAAAGGTTATGCGTTTTTGTGTCTAATGACCCCAAGCCAGGCTTTGGGAGTTGACAATATGACTACCATCTACATTGCTGGAGGAGCAATGAGTGATGGAGCAAGGCTTATGAGGCCATTGCATCGAGCATTTCCTCGCCACATTGCAACAAAGGATGACTTACTGAAAAGCACAGCAAAAGAGCTGGTTGGCAAGCCATCCGTGCTTGCTGCTATTGACTACATTGTCTGCCTTCACAGGTGACCATGCTTGTCCTTCTTGCTGCTGGTGGATTGTGGGTTCTATTTGATTGTGTCAGTGACTTCTTCAAGCCCCTTTCTTTGCGCTTTTTGGCGACAGTGACTTCTTTATGATGACTGCTGGTGGCAACATGGGAATGATGCTAAGAGGTCACCGCTTTTACCTTGGAGATTTCAAGGTAAGTACCGTGGCTGACAACTTGCACCAAGCACATGCCCATTTGATCTTTCTGTTCACTTGTGTGGTGATTGTTTGCTTGTGCAGGAGACGTTTCAACCATATGCACCTGCTTTGGTTCCAGCTCTATCAGGCTCTAGGCCCAACATGACCATGCTGGGAAATATTCTGGCACAGCAACGCATGCACAAGGCACAAGATCCTCTGGATGCAAGAAGGCTGCTGAAATTTTTTGACCGCCCGTGGGAATGTGTTTGTGAAAAAACTTCGGATCATTATACGCTATAGCACAACTCAAAAGCTTCCACAGCTACTCATTGCAAGCTTAACAATGTTACACAGCTGGGAGCCAGAGAACCACTAGACTATAAAACAAGTGCTAACTTCACAGAGCTGATCCTAATCTACACCTGCACTGGAAGCCATGGCGCATGCTGTGTCTGCAACATGGCATACGCTTGCGATGCCGTCCCTGAAAACCTTGCAGCATTCTCGAATACTACTGGCAGACCCTGTCTCAGCCCTGACAAAGCAGCTGCCCTGGCATCAGCCCCTAGCCTCTCTAAGGCCACACTTTCCGCATTCACTTTCTTTCTCGCATTCTCCAGAGCAATCCTGCCGCTGGCAACCTCAGCTGCTGCTGCTGCTGCTTTTGCTTGCTTTGCCTGCTGCTCTGCTGGTGTCTCTGCGCCTGCTGCTGCTGGGCCTCCCAGGGCCAGCTGCAGTTCTCTCTCTTTCTGCTGCAGCTGCTCTAGCTTCGACTCTTGCTTGGACAACTGTACGGGGAAGATGGAACAGGTTTCAAGTTTAGATGAGCCAAGTCAAGAAAATGCAGATGCAGACCATCAGCCAAGGAAGAGAAGTGCTTCTAGTAGATTGCAAGCGAGATGCGGATCGTGAGCGAGTAGAGAAATCGTTCAAAGTCCTTCAACTCCCCTGATTACAAAATGAGGCGCCTAAAACATAGATTTTGAAGTGCCCCTCTCACCTGCTTCAAGCTGTCCTGCAGAAGCTTGAGCTGCTTCATCTCTGCACTCTGCCGCTCATAAGCCTGGCTGATCCACCCACAGAACCCCATCACGGCATCCTTCACCTCCTTCTCTGGCAGCCGGTCCATCGTCCTCACCCAGTCGTTACCCAGTGCCACCAGCGGCCCCTCCACGTGCTGCTGGCCTGAGGGAAACAAGGAAGATTCATGGGAAACAGATACACAGGGGGTAAGATTGGGAAGAGGCGGAGGGGGGTTGGCTGGGCAACGATTGGGCAATGAGGCGAGCACAACCTACCTGGTGGGGGGGGGGGGGGGCGGGAGAGCAGGAGCAGCAGCAGCAGCACCAGCAGCGCCGCCTGGTGCCCAGCTAGCCACGTATTGCCCCGGGGGAGGGGTCATGCCAAAGGAAGTGTCGTTGGGCAATGGTTGGGAATCAAACTGAGAATGGCTTACCGGGGGAGGGGGTGGGGGCGGGGGCAGCGCCAGCAGCGCCGCCTGGAGCCCAGCTAGCCACGTATTTCCCCGGGGGGGGGGGGGGGGGGGGGGGGGGGGGGGGGGGGAGAGGTGGAGAGAGGGATAGGACGGCAAAGCAGTGAAGGGGACAGCATACCTGGCGGGGGAGGGGGAGGCGGAGCAGGGGCAGCGCCAGCAGCGCCCCCTGGAGCCCAGCTAGCCACGTATTGCCCCGGGGGAGGTGCGGTGCCAGGGAGAGGCGGAAGGGGGGGTGGGGGAGGCATAGCTTACCTGGTGGGGGAGGCGGGGGCGGGGGAGCAGTGCCAGGCGCCCAGCTGGCCACGTACTGGCCCGGGGGAGGGGCCGTGCCGGGGAGAGGAGGCTTGGGGAAGTCTGGGGGGAAGGCGAGGGTCTTGCGCACCCAGGTGATTAAAGCTGAGAAGAACTTGCGCTGTGCTGCACACAGCACACTGGGGTTTGGGGGGGGGATTGGGGGGTCGGGATGGGGTTGGGGGAAGAGGGGAGGGGGAGAGACTGAGGTATTGAAAGAGGGTCTTGCGCACCCAGGTGATTAAAGCAGAGAAGAACTTGCGCTGTGCTGCACACAGCACACTGCGGGTGGAATGGGTGGGGGGAGGGGGGAAAGGAAGGGAAGGGGGAAGGGAAGGGAAGGGGGAACGGAAGGGAAGAGACTGAGGCATAACATGAGGGTCTTCCGCACCCAGGTGATGAGGGCAGAGAAGAACTTGCGCTGCGCAGCACAGAGCACACTGGGGGGGGTGGGGAAAGGAAGAGAATGGGGGGGCGGGGAGGAGGGGGTGGAAACATGAGTCATGAGTCATGAGTCGGGGTGGAAACATTGACATGAAGGGGTACTTTGAGATATTCTGACATTCGGGGTTTCATTGGCATGCAGGGGCCTACCTGAGCGAGGAGTGCCACTTCTTAAACGCGTCGTCCAGCTTCTCAACGCCTCGCGCTGCGCCTTGGTGGTGCTGCGTGAATGGAGTTGACTCAATAGTCACCATACATTGCCATTCATTGCCATTTATTGCCATTCATTGCCGTGATATCAACACCCAGGGGCCTACCTGAGAGAGGAGTGCCACTTCTTAAACGCGTCGTCCAGCTTCTTGGTTGCCTCGTGCTGCGCCTTGGTGGTGCTGGGAACCTGTGGCAGCAGATGGGGAAGGAGTGAGCGTAAGCAATGTGACCTCAGAGGCAGCTTCTGGCAATCTGGCAGCACTGAGGAGGGCCGGCTTCTTAGTCGCCTCGTGCTGCCGCTTGGTGGTGCTGGGAACCTGCAAGGGGCGTGGGGGTGGAGAGGGGAGTGAGTGGAATCACTGTGGAGAGAAATCTTGCAAGATTGCTGGGCGACCAGCAAGCTGGCGCTCAGCACCATCCCACACCACACCACCGCACCGCACCCCATCCATCCCATTCCACGCCACCGCACCGCACCGCACCCCACCCCACCCCATCCCACACCACACCACACCACCCCACACCACCCACCACCGCATTCCACCGTTCACCTGCATGACACCGGGCACAATCGGCGCCTGCCCTGCAGTGGTGCCCCCCTCATAGGTGACACTCTTCATTTTAACCACATTCAATCGATTCCACCGCATTCCACCGCACACCACCCCATCCCACTTCATCCCAACCCACCCCACCGCATTCCACCGCACTGCATCCCGCTGCGCACCTGCATGACACCGGGTGTGAGCGGCGCCTGCCCGGCAGTGGTGGCCCCCTCGTGCGTGACAGGTGGCATGTAGTGATTGGCCAGCATGGTCGCCAGCTGCTGCTGCTGATCGTGCACCTGGGAGAGAGAGTGCCACGTGGATACCAGGCTGGGGAGGGGGAGGAGGGGGGGGTGGAGAGGGGGGGTTTAGGTATGGAGGGGGGACGAGAAGGGGAGGGAGCACTTGTGTCACGCTCACGTGCACCTGGGAGAGAGAGTGCCACGTGGATACCAGGCTTGGGGGGGGGGGGGGGGGGGGGGGGGGGGGGGATATTGTGGGGGATGGGGAAGCAAGGAGGGGGGGGAGCATGGGTGTGACTCTTGCGGAAAAGGGAGAGAGTGCCACGTGGACACAGACTGGGGGGGTGGGGAAGCGTGTGGGGGATGGGTGGAACGAGGAGGGGAGGGAGCATGTGTGTCATGCTCAAGTGCACCTGCGAGAGAAAGTGTCACGTGGGCACCAGACTGGGGAACGAGAGAGCGGGTGGGAGGGGAGGGGGGAGGGGGGGGGGGTGGGGGGGGGGGGGGGGTGGTTGTGCAGGGAGCATGGGGAAGGAGGGGATGTTGACGAGGAGGGAGGGAACACGTGGACACGTGATAAAAGAGTTGTTTTGAGAGTGAGGGGTGATGGGTGTGGGGGGGAGGGGGAACGAGGAAGTGAAGGAGCATGGGGACGGCGCGTGTGGGTGAGGGAGGAAACACTTGGGGTCATGCTCACTTGCAGCTGAGAGGGGGAGGGCCACCTGAGGGAGGGCCACCTGAGGGAGGGCCACGTGGACACCTGAGGGAGTGCCACGTGGACACCTGCGCGTCCGCCAGCTTCACCTGCGCGCCCTCCCTTTTCCCCCTCACAGCACAGTCCCTCTCTCCCTTCCTCCACTCACCACCAACCATATACAGCACTCTCGTTCCCCTCCCTTCCCGCCCCAAACCCACGCACCAGGGCAGCCGCGCTCACCAGAGCAGCCGCGCTCACCAGAGCAGCAGCGCGCAGCAGAGTTTTGGGTCGACTCAAAACTCGACCCAGAGCAGCGCTCACCAGGGCAGCAGCGCCCACGAAAAACAATGACAGGGAGGAAAAGACAGTCAATGCACACAAGAAAGCGTCACCTCCGCTCTGCACTCACCAGGCAGGCAACCACTGACACAAGAGGGCTGACACACACCACTGACAGCTGGTGAGTGCAGGGCCCACTGACAGCCCTCCCTCCCACACCTTCCGTCTCTCCCTTCTCCCCCCTCCCCCCTCCCTAAGAACCTCCCCACTCCTTCTCCCCAGTCCCCCGCCCCCCGCACACGCACCAGGGCAGCAGGCGCAGCAGTTGGGGAAACAGCAAGTCCGTTTTATACGCCTCAACAGCGTGACACGCGGTCACCACGCGCTCGCTCGCGCCCGCCATGCGGTGCTGCGCGTCCCCCAGCTTCACCTGCGCGCCCTCCCTCTTCTTCCTCTCTCCCTTCCTCTACCCACCAGCAACCATAGACAACCCACCAGCAACCTTTCTTACTCTCAACTAGCAGCATCCCTCCTTCCCTTCCTCCCTCTCTACCCAACTCACCAGGGCAGCATTAAACGCACCAGGGCAGAAGGCGCAGCAACTGGGGAAGAGAAGGTCCGTTTTATACGCCTCAACAGCGTGACACGCGGTCACCACGCGCTCGCTCGCGCCCGCCATGCGGTGCTGCGCGTCCCCCAGCTTCACCTGCGCGCCCTCCAGCTTCCGCGGATCCGCGTTCGCGTTCCCGCTCGCGCGCGCCGTCTCCTTGCGCACGCGCTTGTCCTTGCTCTTCAACTCCGTGCGAATCGTCTCCATTTCCTGACGGGGGGGGATGGGGGGAGGTAAGGGAGGGGACGGGGCGGGCGGAGGGAGTACGGCAGGTCTGCGCTTACAGTCACCCTGCCCGTCTCCTTGCGGGAAAGGTAAGGGAGGGGACGGGGCGGGCACAATCACCCTGCCCGTCTCCTTGCGCACGCGCTTGCCCTTGCTCTTCAACTCCGTGCGAATCGTCTCCATTTCCTGATGGCGTGGGGGGAGGGGGAGTATGGGGGGCGGGAGAATGGGGGGCGGGAGAATGGGGGGCGGGAGAATGGGGGGCGGGAGTATGTTTTGATTTGAACTGTTCGCATTCCCACCCCCATTTCATTTTTCTAGGGGCATCGGAAATTAACTCACCCAAATCTTGTCCTTAATATCGCGCTCCCAGTTAAGCAGCTTCTGAACCGTGTCGCCAATACTCTCCAGCTGCCCGCCCTCCTTAGTAGCCGCCGCCACCGTCAGCGGCGGAATCGCGTTCTTCGGGATAGGCGCTGCGATTCTAAGTAGCTCCACCAGCGCCGTGATCCGCGCGGAAGCTTCCAGGAAATGCGCGTTCACCTTCTTAGCGAACTCGTCCGCCCATTTGTCGCCTAGCACCGCGCCGCCGCTAGGACCAACATAGGCTATTATTTGCCCCGATCCGCCAAGCATCCCTGATGTTCCCCCCATCACTCCCGAAGCGCCCATAACTCCCGAAGCGCCTGCCGCGCCTGGTGCGCCGAGATTCCCGGAGCTGCTCAGCAGCTGCCCAGAACTTCCCGCGGGATGCGGAGGCGGAAGCTGCGCCTGCGGCCGCTGCTCCCATCCCCCCGCTCCGCCCGCGGGCGGAGGCGGGGGACCGCCGTACGCTCCGCCAGGGGGCGGAGGGGGTGGATATACCCCCGAGTAACCCCCCGGGGGAGGCGGAGCCCCGCCGGGGGAGCCATATCCGGGGAACGGCGGGGCGGGAGTGCCCTGGGGGGGATACGGCGGAGGGGGGCCATACCCGCCAGAGTTGGACTGTGGGAAAGCGGCGGCCGGAGTGCCCTGATAGGGCGGCGGAGCGCCTTGATACGGGGGCGGCGGGGGATACGCGGAACCTCCCGGCGGGGGAGGAGCTCCGCCGCCGATCAGGGGCGGCGGAGGGTAACCGGAACCGGGAGGAGGCGGAGGGTAAGTGGAACCGGGCGGAGGCGGCGGATACTGCGCGGAGCCGTACGGACAGGCTGGCGGAAGACCGCCGGGGCCTGGCGGAGGAGTTGCGCCAGGAGCACCCGCAGGGGCCGCGTCTCTTGGCGGAGGGGGAGGGGACGGGGATGGCGCAACCGGCTGCGGCGGAACGGGACTCGGCGCCGGCAACGCGGCGGAACTTCCGGAACCCGCGACCCCCGCGACCACAATAGAATTAGACGCCCCCGACCCACTTCGCTCCACCGCGTTTCCCGCCGCGTACTCCGCCGGATCTCCCGCGGCCGCAGCTTCCCCGGGAACTTCCGACACCTGCACGGGCGGAACGTTCTGGAAGGCCTGCGGCGGAACATTCGCGCCGAGCGCGGATCCGATGAAGATATTTGTCCCCTCGCAGTAGATCAGCAGCGCGGTGCCGGCGGTTTTAAGAGAGTCCGCGTAAGCGGAGGACGCGTTATAAAACTCCTTGTGCGCGTCGACAAGGTCCTTAGCCGCCGACTTTCGCGCCTTGCCGTACGCGGCGCCTTCGGAAAGCATCATAGACGGCATGTGCTTCGATATGCTGCTGCTCCCGCACCCCATGGCGGGCGACTCGGTGAAAAAAGAAAAAAAAAATATTAAAAACCGATCAGGCGATAGGCATAACAAGGGAACGACTAATGCGACGGGAACTGGAGACGATGACCTTGTCGCCTCGCCTTGTCCAGTGATAGAACGCTTATCCGTGCGAAAATGTTAATGGACCACGCACGACTTTTTGGATCACCCGACGTGCAGTTACAAACAACGAGGAGGTAGCTGCGAGCAACCGTAGTGCCTTGAAGCGTGTCAAACAAGTGATAGATTATCAGACACAGCCGACAGTGGGATGGAACTGCTTTGAAGCGCGCCAAAGAATTGAAATATTGTCTGTGCTCCTTTCTGTGCTCGCTGCGCTGCTTCAAGAGATGCTTTGCTTCTGGTCGAATTATTCCCCCCCACAAGAACATCTGGTTTCCGCTTGGAGTCGCAGATGCTCTCAAGCCTAACGAAACAATAGTAACGACGCTCGCCATTCGAGAAAACACTCTCAACATTCCTTTGTCTCCACTGCGAAACCGCCTGATGTTCGCCAGAGTTCGAGAAAATCGTTCAACGATTGCCGCCCTCCCTGTGGGGGGTGCTGTCGTGCCGTGTTCAAACGGGCAATGACAGATGGGGAAAGGCGGGGGAGGGGAAAGGAGATGCGGGGAAAAGCGGAAACTCAGACAAACGGAAAGTCCTGCGCCATCAGCTGTAGCACCCCTGAGAGCTTCCGCAGACCGCCAGCCGTTCCCGCGGAACCGGAAGGAAGTCTCCGTGTGCCGTGCATGGTTTGGTCATGCCGCTTCTTATTGGTTGGTGGCGCTTTCACGATGCCTCTGTACGCTCGCTCTGAGCTCCGTTTCGTGTTGACAGGGGTTGAACTGTTCCAGGTCAGCTTGCGCTCGTTTGATGCCGCTAGTGTAGCGAGGGAAAAGAAGTGCATGAAACGGGTATGCGCTGCGACATATTCTGTACCTGAATAAGGCCGTGTTGTAAGAGCTTACCCCCATAAAAGACTCTTACAGTGCATCTTCCAACTTTCGAAATATTCTGAATTCACAAGAGTTAAATAAAAAACTAATAAATATATTGAATCTAACCCAATTTACTGTGTTGATTTATAAAATAGCCTCATTTTCCTCAACTTGGTGTTGGTATTTCTACAGATCGAAGCTGTTCTTATGAGCAAGCTGTTCTACAGATCGAAGCTGTTCTTATGAATCGGACCTTGAGACGCGTCCCCGTTCCGTCACTCCCCGTGCTGGCGTAGTCAGCACAGATGCAGTTTGCCAGAATCACGCAAGCTGACGGTTGGTTGGCCGCAACCAACTCGGCTTCCAACTGTCGCCTGGCCGAGAGTTGCGGGACTCCTGAATTATGCAGGCTCTGTACAGTTTCGATTGTAACATCGCTAGCTCTCGCTAATCTTCGCTTCTCACCAGCTTGTAGATCCATCCTTGTATATTTGCTGGCAATGGCTGAGGACGATCCTCACATCCCATTCCTAGTAAATCGCTGACAGGAATCACATTCCTGAGTTTTCTGAGACTACCTTCCACCGTCTCATCCTCCTTTCTTAGGTCCTTTTTACTAAATAATTTGTGACAACAACAGCTCGCATATCGCAGTGAGTTTCCGGTTTTGGCCACAAAGCGCGGAACGCTTATTAATAAAATAAAGCTCAATGGGTGCCGATCGGAGGCCGAAGAATCCCGTTCAGATCGCGGTGTGGTGGGTAAAAAAGCAGCCGCCTAAGATTAAGGCGTTTCTCGGCGTATGCATCGGGATTGCGGCGCTGATATTCCTGAGATTCATGGTGGTGGATCATGACAACCTCTTCGTTGCTGCCGAGGCCATCCATGCCATCGGTATTGGTGTGCTCGTCTACAAGCTGACGCGAGAAAAGAACTGTGCAGGTGCGTTTCGAGACCCAATGACCTTTCATTAGGCATGGTGAAGGTGGAATTTTCCAACTTTTGCGTTGGCTCTTGCGGTGTTCCGCAGGTGTGTCGTCGTATTGTCCGTTAGGTTTTGGCTGATTATTTATTATTCTTCTCGAAGCGTGTGATTTGTCTGCTTTGCATTGGACATCGCTGTCTGAAGCGACGGCGGAAAGAGACAGAGAACACGAACGAAGATGCTGCACGAATCCAGTTACTCCTTTCGCCTTCAAACGCCGTCCATGATTAATAAGGGTTTCCGAACATATAAATTTAAACCCAATTCTAACTTGTCATCCTTCACATTCGGTACTGCTTCCCCGTCCCCTTGATGTTCCCGTCCGGCATTGCCGCGACGACGCGATGCTGAAGAGGACATAGCCTGGCCATAACTCTTATTTCAACGTTGACTTACTTATTGTCAAATTTTCGTTACTTTCTTTTGTAAACAATTTCTCTTTGGTCCATCAAAATTTTCCGCTTATTGCAGGCCTCTCCCTCAAGTCTCAGGAGCTGACAGCGATATTCCTGGCCGTCCGATTGTACTGTAGCATGATGATGGAGAAGGACATCCACACGCTACTGGATCTCGCGACGCTGGTTACCACCGCGTGGGTCATCTACACCATGCGATTCCAGCTGCGCTCCACTCTATCGGAAGACCTTGATAACCTTGCGCACGTCTACATTGTGAGTAACAGACTATTGTGATTCTAACGAATTTACCATTCAATACGGGACCGCCGGTCTACACGGCGTGGGTGACCTAAATCGTGCAATTGCGCTTCTCGGTTTCGGAAGGCATTGGTTACTCTGGCAACGAATTTCTTTGTCCGTATTTCTCTGCTTGCCATTTTCGCGGTTTCGCGCCAATTACTTACTGCGTGATCCGATGCATTCGAGCATATGGAAGCCAAATGTTTCTTGCACGTTTCTTTCTGTAAAGATCTAACCGCGTGCTGTGGTGATTCCCTACACCCCTCTTGCCCCCTTCTCCCTTCCCATTCCCCTTATATCCCTCCTCTTTTCCTTACTATCCTTCCCCCACCCCATTACACCCCATATTTCCTTCCCTCAACCCCCACCCCCCCCCCCCCCCCTCTCCCCCCCACTTCCCCCTCCCTCCCCTTCCTTTCACTCCCCCCCTCCCCTCCACCCTCCCCTCCATTGTTGTCTTGCAGCTGGCGCCGTGCGCGGTCCTGGCGCTGCTGGTGCATCCGCGCACGTCGCACTTCATCGTGAACCGCGTGCTCTGGGCCTTCTGCGTCTACCTCGAGGCCGTCTCCGTGCTGCCGCAGCTGCGCGTCATGCAGAACGCCAAGGTGAGCGAGCGGCGAGGGGGAGGAGGGGAGGGGGGGAGAGGGGGGGGTGGTTGGAAGGGAATTGGCTAACATCTGGCGTACATAGGGGTTGTAAGGGGCAGCGATTACTGCGTGTACCTCGAGGCCGTAAGGAGTGAGGGAACATGGAAATCCCACCATAGGAGGAGGCAGACGTGGCGAGCGCAAGGCGATTGGTGAGCGTTTGACTTAGCATGTAGGATGAGAGGCTGGAAGGGAGACACGTAATGGATGGAGAGAACGTGATAAGACGCCAAGAGCCTCTTAAGCTGATTCAAGCACGCGGGAATGAGTGGGTGCTGGCGCCATCCAGAAATTAGTGGTTGGTGGCAGAAACGCCTGGATTGTTGAATCAAGAGCACGATGCGTGGGGGGGCAAAACGTGTGAAGCAGCATGTCGAAGCAGCATGGGGACGAGCTGAGAGCTCTAATTATCAACCTGATGCGTAATGCCTGTAGCCCCCACTCCGCCCTCCCCTCCCCCTCGGCCACTGTATCCTTCCTCGTGTGCTCCACACCCCAGTGGCAGTTCGTGTCCCCTGTCCCCTTACTGCCATGTGCCATCAACTTCTTGTACCCTTCTTAGCACACTCTGTCCCTGCTCTCCGCCTTCCCCTCTCTCCTCTTCCCCATTCCAACCACCCCTTTCATCTCCCCATCACACTGAGTCTCGTCTCTACTGGCAGCTGCACTGCACCCCACCCGTCTTCTCCACTGTCCCCTTTCCGGACCCAATCGTTCTTATCTCCCACTCTTCCCACTCTTGCCACTCGGCGTCCCCCCAAACCATTCAACCTTACCCATTCTCTCCCCTGTGTTGCACCCCCTTTCAACCTAACCCCCCAGCTAGTGGAGCCCTTCACGGCGCACTATGTGTTTGCGCTCGGCATCGCTTCAGACCACTCAACCTCACACGCTTTTTCCACCCTTCCCTGCCCTCCCCCATCGCTTCCCCAGCTAGTGGAGCCCTTCACGGCGCACTATGTGTTTGCGCTCGGCATTGCCCGCTTTCTCTCCTGCGCCCACTGGATCCTGCAGGTCAGTGCTGCTCCTGCGTGCTTGTCTTGCCAGCGTGCCATGGGGCAGTGCTGTACTCTGCACATGGGGGGGAAAGGGGAGTTTGCACTTGGTACAGGACCCTAGCAGGGCATTGCCCGCTTCCTATCCTGTGCAGACTGGATTCCGCAGGTCAGTGCTGCGCTGCTTGTTGCATCCATGCCATGGGGTAGTGCACTCTCCACCTCAAGCTGCCTCAGTATTGGGTGATGGCATAGGAACTGTGGAGCTTGCAAATCTGTTGCTGCGTAAATGCTATGGGGTATTGCACTCTGCACTTCTAGCTGCCTGTAGCCGGGAGTGGTGACTTAGGAGACGTGTGGCCTGTATTGCAACTGCTGCAGGCTGTAGCACGTGCCACATCCCCAACTCGCCTCCCCCTTCTGGTCATGCTCTCGACTTGGAACCTCTTCTCGTCTGTCTGCTCTTCTCTCTGGTACAAGGTTAGAATACACCCCAACAAGCACCTCGTCTGTCTGCTCTTCTCTCTGGTACAAGGTTAGAATACACCCCAACAGGCACCTCGAAACCACCTGTTGGTACAAGGTATGGCAACAAAGGTGTGTACACATTCTATTCATACAGCTTCATCAAGCCAATAGACGGCTCTCAGACCCAGATGGTGTTTTTGGCTTCTTGCCTTTTTCTTACTGTTGCATTTCCTGCTTCCCCTCCCTTCACC